TCTTCTCTCAACACCTCCTGGAACTTCCCCACCTGACCATGTGCCCCCCACTCCTTGGCTCTCCCACCTCGTAAGTCTCGCCCCACTGGGGGTTGAGTTCTTCGTTGATGACACGGCTGCAGAATGCCTGGGTGCCCACTCGCACAAGTGCATAGGGGTCTGACTTGCCCTCAATCAGGCCCTTCACATATTTATCCTTGGAGCTCAGCCCTCGAGCGGCCAGCAAGTGAATCCGAACTATGCCCTGAAGGGGAGGAATCAGGTTGTGAGAAATTAAAGACCCACCACAGGGTTCCTGAGTGAAGGGCCCTAGCCAGGGGAGAGGCCATACCCTGGGAAGAGGGGAGCGCAGCTGGGCCACATCTTGAAGGTCACGCACGAGAGGCAGCAGTAACCGGTTGGGCAACACAAGGAAGGCAGCGATGGAGTCCATGATCATGGTGTCAGAGAGGGAGCTGAACGGGGGGGCGGAAACGGAGGTGAGTGTGCGGGTCCCTGTTTCCCCTGCAGCTGGAGGGAAGGTCTTTCTTGGAAATGCCTTTTCGCTGCCCTTGACCCTCACTGCCCACCTCCTGCTCAGCCCGCCCTCGCTGCCATCCAGCTCTGTTTTCTCCCCCTGCCCCTGGCTGAGGGTCCCGCAGCCCTCTTCGTTCTCCACCAAAACGCAGGCTCCACAGGGGAAAAGCCACACCACGAAACTTCCTCAGGAGTGTTTGTCTCATCTCCCCAGCCAGGGTCAAGGCTCCTGGAGGAAACCAGCTGCATTTTTTTTTTAAATTTAGCCGTACTGGGTCTTAGTTGTGGCACAAAGGATCTTTAGTTGTGGTATGTGGGATCTAGTTCCCTGACCAGGGATAGAAGCCAGGCCCCCTGTGTTGGGAGGTCGGACTCTTAGCCACTGGACCACCAGGGAAGTCTCCTGGCTGCATCTTTCACTGCTCTGTACCCCTTAAATCTTCAAATTAGCGTTGGAACACTTAGCAGGTGCTCAGTAAGTCCTTGATACCTGAGTCCTGGGATATCCAGCAGGTTGGTCATCCCCGTCCAGTTGATATCTAGGGTCTGGAAGCAAAGAGCAGAGGGATCAGGACACAGCACATGGGGGGGTCATGCCCATACAACTGTTGCCAGTGCCCTGCCGGTCCCTCCCTCATTCCCCACTGGGGAGAGCGAGGTGGCCATCCTCCACCTCCCAGGCCTCTCTGCTTCCCCCTTTTCTCTACCGCTCCTGGATGTCTTCTCTCACCGGGCGTCGGATGAAGAACATCGACACAGCCCCCACGATAGGAAGGTCCCCCATGAGTGGTTCGAGAATCACCCGTAAGATGCCATGTAGCTGGGGAAGAAAACATGAATAAAGCCCTTCCTCAGAAAAGGTCTTTCTTCCCTCCCAGACCTCCCCAGCCTTGGTTTTCCCAACCTCCCACTTCCGCCATCTACTGAAACTCCAGGCAAAGGCTTCCTGTGGAGGCCCCAGGCATCTGCCTTACCTGCATGCCCTTGACTCCTGCTTTGCAGAAGTATTTCTTCACTTCCACATCAATCTGAACATCACCTACGTAGCTGGGTGTTGGGGAGAAAGAGAACAGGGGGTGAGTCCTAGGCTGAAGTGGGGTGAGGGGAGTAAAGAGGTCCGAGTGCCCGGGAAGGGGGTCCGGGAGAAGTGGCAAGGGGCAGCACCTGATGTTCAAGTCCAGCAGGATCTGTTTTTTGCTCTGACCAGTGTGAACCTTGACTCCAAGGATGCGCAGTGGCTGCAGAGAGAAGAATGCTCGAGAGGGGAGGGAAAGCCCCCCTGAGGCCACCTGCCCCCTGCCCCATCTCTTCCCTTCCATCCCTTCCCCTCCTGAGGCCACCTGCCCCCTGCCCCATCTCTTCCCTTCCATTCCTTCCCCTCCTGAGGCCACCTGCCCCCCTGCCCCATCTCTTCCCTTCCATTCCTTCCCCCCCTGAGGCCACCTGCCCCCTGCCCCATCTCTTCCCTTCCATTCCTTCCCCTCCATACGAGCACCTTTTCACCCAGCTCCACTCGCGTAAAGGTGAATGTCTGCAGGTGAGGGTTAGAGCCTCGGACAGCTGGGGCCACAGTTTCGGCGAGAAGCTTCTCCATGTACTGGCCCAGGAAGGGCCAGACCTGGGCCACCATCTGGGAGAAAGGGGGCTGGTCACAGAAGAGCCCGCTTTCCCTCCAGCATCCTCCCCGTGGGGAGGCCAGAACTGAAGTGTGGCAGGGTCTGGCAAGACAGACGAACCCTATTCTCCCCCTCACGAAAAACAAAAACCAGGACAATCAACCCTTACCTTATTGAGCCACTCAGCCTTTTCCACATCTGGGAAGCTGACCTGGAGGTGGAAAAAAATGGAGATAGTGGTGAGCACTGTGGCTTTCTGCTAAGATGCCCACTGAGGAAACCGAAGTGGACACGGCCTCCGCACACCCAGCGGCTGGGGGCGGAGCCGTATGTCCTGGGGATCTAGTCCTCCGCTGGGCCACACAAAGTTGCTTGCAGATAGCTCCAGGGTATGAAATGATGACAGCTGCTGAGGCAGGGAGGAGGAGGGGAGAGAAGAGCACATTCTTTCTGGAGGGGAAGGTCCTGACCAATCAGAGTCTGACGAGGAAATCCTGGGATCCGGCTCCTTTTACCAGCCTTCCTTCAGCCCTGGGAACCACTGCTTCTACACCAAGAGGTGAAGCAGGAAGCGGCTCCTGAGTTAGGGAGGGGCCGGGAGAGCTGTTTGGGCCCAGGCCGGTGTCTTCTTTCTTTGTAAACAGTGTGACTCCTTTCCTGGGAAGGAGGTACACCTGTGCTTTGTACTGGGAGAGGAGGAGGGGGAGCCGTTTTAGGAGGAAGATTAATTCCTCAGATGAGGAGGAGGAACAGAAACCGTTGGTGCCTGGGCTCCAAGGCCTGTGGGACCATTGCTCCCCCTTTCTCCCCCCCCAGTTCAGAGTCTGGGAAGCATGGCTATGTCTGCCAAGTGTCAACTTCAATTTCCCCTAGACGGGCACCTCTGCTGGGAGGAGCGGGAAGGGAGGGCCCGGGAGAGGCTGGGTAACGGGCTGGGCACCTGCAAGGCCTCAGAGAAGCCATCGGGCCCCTCACCACAGCAGAGGGGGCGAAGAAAACGGGTCCTGGCTTCAAGCCAGCAAGCGCAGCCCGCAGTCCGGAAAAGGGTGGGGCCTGCCAGGGGCGGTGGAGTGTGGGCAGCGGGCACTGCAGAAGTCGCATGCGGGCCCCCCCCCCCGTAGCACCCCCGCCCTTTGTCCAGCAGTCGCCTCCACTGCTCCGTGGCCCAGCCACCCCAGGCTGAAAAGGAGAGGGTCGGAGGGTCCGTCCAGGTGCGGGGCCTCGACTGGGCAGTGCTCCCAGGGCGGGTCTCGGGGTACTCGAGGATAAGAGCGGGAAAAAGGAGAAAAACCTTATGGCCCTAAATGGGTATTAAAAAAAAAAAAGTCTTGGGGAGGACAGGAAAGAGGAGGAACCCCTCTGAGCGGCCACCGGAGGGGGGATGCCCAGCAGCAGCGTGAGTGGCACCAGAAACAAGGAGGGGCATTGGAATGGTCGGTTGGAGGAAGAGCCACGCCTGAGATGGGTTTCCCAGATGTTATTACTGTTCTTGCCTAAGCGTGGAGGAAGAAGTCCTGATTTTGTGGAAGAATCGGGATCCGGGCGTGCGGAGGGGGGTGGATAGTCGCTCCCTAGAGTGGCGCGTCCCAGCATGCAGGCGGCTAGCGGGCCAAAGGGGTAAGTCTGCGGCTCATCGTCCCAAGGTGAGGAGCTGACTTTAAGGATAGGGAGAGCGCTCGAACTGAGGCGCTAAAAGGGGGCTATTCTGCATTGAGGATTGAAGGTGGTCGCTCACCCAGGCAGGTAGCTCTCGATGGCTCATGTAAAGAGTTTTCGCCGTAAGCCGTTCTTCATCGTCCAGCAGCTGCCGCGCGACTCGAAGGCTCCGTTCTTTCTCCTCGCGAACCCGGCGCCAGCCCAGATAGAGGGCGAGGCCGAAGAGCACAAAACCCACGCTGAGCCCCATTGCCCCGGCCAGGTACACCGGCACTAGCACCAGCAACCGCCGCCCGAACGAGGTCAGCACCGCCAAGGCCTCGCCCGCCGCTCCTGCGCCGGCAGGTTGGTCCCCAGAACTCTGCTCTGGCTTCGCGTGAGCAGCAGGGGGCTGGTCAGGGGGCTCGGAGGGAGGGTAGGGCTGGTCCACCCGGCTGGGGCCGGGGCTGGAGCCACTTCCAGGAGAGGGCTCCATGATGCCACCTCAGGGAGACCCGCCCAACCCAGAGATCAGCCAGAGGTTGCCTAGTTTTGCGACTAGCTCCCCCTCTTACAAACCATAAACCCCAGAATGGGGGAGGGGATTTCAGGCCACGCCCCTCCGTCCTGACTATTTGGGTTGGTCCGCACCGCATAGACGAAGGTGGAGTCAAAGATCGGAACCCCGCCCCCTTCCGCGAGGAGGGGGAAAGGGCTCGGGAGAAGCAGGACCTTGCTGATTGGACCTGAGTGCCAAGATGGGCGGCCCGGGATGGCGGGAAAAGGAGATAAAGGCTAAAGACTAGCATGTGATTAGTTAGAAACAGGAGGAGGCGTGGCTACCATTTAAAGAGGAGAGGCGGGACCAGGAGTCCCCCCACGTGGGATTGGCCTGCCTGTGGTATGACATCATGCGGAGCGCACCGCTAATTACTCGGTTTTAGAGGTAGATGGAGTAGCGAAGTTGAGGGGTAGCGGAGGGTGGCGATTTCCTTCCACTCTATTCAGGCAATTTGGCAGAACTCGGTCTGGGGTTCCTACGTGTTAAACTTGTCTCCTTTCCCTTGTTTTCATTCTTTAAGCATGCCTTTACCCTTCCACTTTTTTCTGGCTGTCCTTCCAAAAGGAAAAGGAAATTACCCTACTTAGAATCGAAGTGTTCAGTGACCTACCCTGTCTATCTTGTTCCCAGTCTTCTGCCTCGTCTATGCAGTGTAACGACAGCCTCTGGAAAACAAAAAACAAAAAACTGGAAAGTCTGAAAACTACAGAGTTTAGATAATTCAGACTTCAGGCAAGGGGTTGGGGTGGGGGGGGGCAGGGTGAACAGGAAGTGAGGTTTTATCTTTAGAAATCTCCAAATACGCCCATTCTACCTCCAAGAATTAGTCATCTCTATTTTAAAGAGTTTAAAACTAAACTGGACCCAAAGGGAGGTGGGGGCTCAGCTGTAGCAGAAGTGATTATATTTTCCAAGAATTCCTGAATCTGAGGAACCGCTAGGACACTAAAATGGGTAATCAAGAGTATGAGACAATTCTGTTTCTCATTTGCCTGTGTTACAAGGAAGGTGTTTAGAATATAGTCAGATGTGGAACTCAGTGCACTGTGTAGGTTTAGGAATGAAAAAATTCAGGGTACACTGATGAGGAGTCTTGTTATAAGTTAACTAGAGTGTTGTCTAGGCACTTAGAAACTGGGCTGATTGGAAGCCCAGGAGGGACGGATTGGCCATGATTACTTTTTAATGCAATATATGTGGGGCTGTGTTACTGTTTGATTTGCAGCTGTTAAATTTTATTTAGCTCTGCAGGGCATAGATTTCATCAGGCTATGTTTCATCAAAGCTGTTTAAAACTTACCCTGCCCAGCCTTCCTCCCTTAAATTTTCTCACTTCCCTTTCTCTTTCTCTGAAACAGTAACTAAACTGCTTCTTTCAGTTTGCAGAACTGTATAAAGAACAATTTGCTATCTATGTTCTCCATATCCTGAGATGAGCAGTTATAAAAGGAGTTCAAGGGGTTATTACTTCTGATTCCTTGGAGGAGGTAAGAATGATTTGCCTGCCCACCAGCTGATGAAACAGAACCATAGCAGGAAAATGGATGAACATCCTTAGAGGAAAACCTTTCTAATAAAACTAAAATTTGCCAAATACTGGAGTAGAGGGAAGGAGTCCCTTAGGCTGGGGGATGAAGAGGGTGACTTATGGAAGTTCCTTTCCAAACTTTTCCCCTTTCTCATCCTATCCAGATCAGACCCTCCTACTGAAGATGGTATGTGGAAGACAAAAGCTCATCCTCGGGAAGGTCTCTTTGCAACTGGCACCCAGGAACCACAGAATCAGCAGCTGCAATGCAGGCACCAGAACGAGTAAACAGGGTGGGTCCCCACCCATTGACAACTCTGCTGCCCAGGTGCCACCTGGTGGTGATATGCAGTAAGCGGGTAACAGGAAAAAGGATGGCCACTTGCTAGAGGAAGTGTCTAAGGGAGGAGAGCACTGAGACTTCCTGGTTTTGCATTCTGCCTTTATGTGTAAATTACAATTGCTTCCCAGGGTTGGAAGTGGTAATCTGGTCCCAGACTACTCTTCAAGAGGGCAGTGGCAACAAAATTTGAGGAAACTTCCTCTGTATTATTCCTTCCAAGTTACTGGAAGGTAGTGGTCCCGTTGTTGGATGGCTCTATTATTAGCACTTATCTTATGCCAAGCTGGAGCCAGACTGCCTGAAGAGATTCGTGGATCCATTCTTTACTAGTTGTGGAACCTTGAGTTGATTACCTTCTTTAAGTCTTTCTCCTCTGGGAAACAAGTACAATAATAATGCCCATTGTGTCAATGAAATACAGCATGTCAAGTGACAAGCACAGTGCCTTGGTTTATATTAAGTACTCACATGTTAGCTATTTTCTAGAACTCTCTGCTTGTGCAGCAAGACAGGAACTTTATTAGGTAGCCTTTCAAATACCTGAAGACATCTATGGGGTCTATCCACAGTCTTATCAATTTTTTTTCCCAGATACCCCAATGGTTTGCCAATGGCCCTCTGTAAAAACTATTTAGAAGAACACACAATACTTTAGAACTGACTCCTGTCAGACAGACATGGTACTACTACGTTTATAATGCTCAACTATGGTTTTTTTTATCCTATGGAGCTTCTAGAAAGGTGCCTACACAACAGGCCTGTAATATTAACTGACATATTATGAAGAATATTTTTTCTGCAGCCAGTTGGAAGTCCCATGTTGTTCTCATGTGAATTATTGCTAATATAGAGCTCTACATTTGTTTCTCAGGCAGGTTCAAGTAATTTTTAGGGGCAGAGTCAATAGAAATTGACACTTCAGATTAGTCAATCCAAGTTACCGACATTTCCAGTATTACTTATAATTTCTTTGTGTTATGTTAGTGAGTAGGCTTTTCATATTTTTATACAATGAAAAAAATATAGCCCTTGGGTATATCTCTAACATGAATGTGCCCATCAACATTTACTAGGCACAAATGTTCAGTTTCGATTCCATCAAATTCTATTAGCTGACCCATAATTATTCTCTTATCTGCAATGACTTAGGTGAGAAAGAGGAAAGCAGTTTCTGACATCTGGGAAATGGCCTGACACAGCTGGCCTTTGGAAGTATTAGGGGGCTGACCTGGGTTCACAGGTAGGTACTGTTGGACACAATCTCACAAAACACCAACATCAAACAAGGGCACTCAGTGATTGTGATGAAGTGAGGCAAAAAAAAAAAAAAACAAAAAAACAAGATCACAATTTTGTTTAAACACTAAACAAGGTCAGTGTGCAAACCTTAAACTGCAAACATCCCCCTCTCCCAGCTAATGAGTACTGCTTCATTACTTATTGCAGTTTCAGCTTCACTTTAGTCTGTCCTTTTTCTAGATAAGATACCCGATCATAGAGTTTTCCCTGCTTCCCTGACAGCCCCCAGTTTAGAGTGGAGCTCTATTTCCTCGAACCGTCTCCAAACTCAATGGAAGTCCAAGTCATATAGGTCCTTTCTAACATCCTCTTGCAAGACACACACGGTTCCACCTGGTATCCTCTCTCCATCATCACCAAGAGCGTTAAATCCACCCAATTTACTCAACTGTAGGTATATTCTTGGTGGTCTTTAGCTGGAGCACATTAGAAAATACATACAACATCTACAGTTTCCCAAATCTACCTCTTTAGAGATACTTGGCAAAAAAAAAATAATAATAAAGTTAGCTCGTCAGAGTTTGGCTAGGAATTCATGTTGGTATCTATGATCACATTTGTCTAAATGCTCATAAACCATCTCTTTAATAATCCAGAATTATATCAGAAAATCAACATTAAGCTTATCAATGTGTGGCTTCTAGAACCCACAAACAGTATTTCAGTATTTGCCCATTTCAGTCTTTAGCGCCCCCTCCCCTTTTTAAAATGAATGACTGGCCGTGACTCAGCCCGTCTCCAATCCCAGGATATACTGAACGACCCACCAAACAAGAGCAAGAGGTAGCACGAGATGTGCTGGGATCCCTTTCTTTACCCCCAAGTCCACTGTCCCCCTAGACTGTTCCCCTGAGTTCTTTCCCCTACCCCAGCCATGAGCTGAGGAGGAACTGAGGTTTGGCTACTGGGACCCTTGGCCTTACTGGCTCTTCACTGGGTTTAAAACCTCTGTGGTCTTATGTGGAAGCAGAGGGAAGTAAGGGACGAACCCTGTGGCTTATGTCCCCAGAAGAACTCTCCTTTCCCCAGCACCTCTTAAGCCTTGAAGGCTTACGGTGCTGGGAACTGAGAAAAGGATGCGGTAGAAGGGACGCTGCTGTCAACGACTCGGAGAGGAACTGCCACCTGCCCTGCCCTGTTGACACATATCCCATTCCCATTTCCCAGCACATCCACCCTCCTTAGTACCTGCCCCCCTAAATGACCCTGGGAGCCCTGGTTACTAAGGCAACCTGGGAATAGTACATGCAGATAGAAACCAGAATGGATGGGACTGTTTTTAAACTAGATGAGGTGGCTCCAATGGTTTTACCCCATAAAGTACCTTCCCTGAAGCCCCATCTGATCTTGCTCTGGGCCCCTACCCTTCTTCACTGGCCTTCATCCATCCTCACCCAAGCTCTGTGAGAGTGGGGTCTTTATTCCATTTTGGCATAGCATCTATTTACTGCTCCCATCTTCCACACAGGATATCTAAGCAAGTTTTCACTGCCTCCTTTGTCAAAAATAACTTTTTTTTATTTCTTTGGAACGTGGTTGACCCTGCCCTCTGGATGTCCAGGTCAAGCCAAGGTAATGAATGCTCCCCTAGTCTCTGGGCTGGAGTACTATGGTCCCCATCTTCCCACGGGCCCAGAAACAGTTCCTGTATTATCCAACTCAACTAGGCCCCAAACTGTCTGAAGGCTCCTATCAGGCCTTCTCTCCTGGCCACCCACTTCCTATTCTTTCCTGGCTTCCCCTCTGGGCAGGGTATTTTTTTCTTCCAAAGCCAGTGCTGGAACCTGTGCTGTGCAGAAAAGAGGACAAGACCAAGGATGTCCCCTAAATTCCCATCAGAGGACACACAGCCCCTCAGTCAGTCCTTCATCTGTTGCCCTCCGTCTGTACTCCTATGCAAGCCCTCTGAGGCTTGAAGAAGACGGACAAGAGGACCCTCATAAAAGGTAGGTGGGAGAAAACACACCAACCCAACCCTTTCTCAGAAGCAAACTCCTCGCAGTCTCTCATCCTAGTTCATGAGTGAGCCCCTAGGACAGGGCCTTGGAGGGCTAGGCGAGTGGGTGAAGGCCCCTCGACCCCAGCCCGGGAGACTACACCGGGGGAGTGTCCGTCAGCCCCATCAGTGTGGCATGGCTGTGATGCGCATGCTCTGGGAAGCGATGGGGTAAGTCACCATGGGGGTGGTGGTGTGGCTCATTGTGATTCCTGCCAAGGGCTGGGCCATCGATACGGCCACGGGGGCCACAGGAGCCACAGATACAGCCACAGGAGCCATGGAGACAGGTGGGGGTGCCATTCCCTGGGCAATTGTCTGAGCCAGAGCAGCCGACAGTGGCGTGATCTCTGGGTTCAGGTGTGGGGGCGGGGGTGGTGGAGCAGCAGGAGGCGCAGCATTAGCTGGAGGAGCAGCCGGAGCCCCAGCAGGGGCCACCAGTTCTTGCTGGGACACGGGGCGAGGCTGCAGGGCCTGGCTGCTGAGAGTAGTGTGAGTCTGGGCAATGCCGTGGTTAAAAGTGGCGACAGTGCCCACGGTGGGGGCCAGAGTCTGTTCAGTTGCTGGTGCAGTGGAGCTCAGGGTCATGACCTTGGCCTGGTTGCGGAACTGAGCATTTTGCTCCAGCAGTACCTCGTTGGTCGCCAGCAGGTTGCTGACCTGCTTCTTGAGCTCCTCCACCCGCTTCCTGAGCATGGCATTCTCCTCCTCTAGCAGTCTGCACTCCGCCCCTCGGGGTGGAGCCAGGCTGTAGTCATAGGACTCAAAATGGGGACCGTCTGGGGGGCAGCAGCCGCCTCGCCGGCGCTTGGGGCCTGGTTCATGGTCCTCAAAGCCCCTGTCAGGGAGGTCGTAAATATCATAGAGGTCATGACGCCGTCCTGGGGGAACGGGGCCTGTTGAACCCCCACCACCAGTGCCGCCTCCACCCCGAGCATCAAACTCAAAATCCCGCTGCAGGTGACGGAACTTGCACTTGGCTCCTCTCTGGCAGTCACCCTTGAGAAAGTCACGGCAGATGGGGACCTCCTCCTTCCCATTTGGGAGGTCCGCTGGTGACAGGCCTAGGCCGGCTGCCACTTTCTGCCTCAGCCTGGGGGGCAGCTCTCCTGTCTTTTTATAGCCATCCTCGTCCTCCTTGGAGCCATGGATGAATCGGCAGTTAGGGCGGCTACACTCCTTGTTCTGGAAGTCATGGCAGAAGATGAACTCGTTTTTGCTTACCCCCAAGTTGGACACCTCACTCATGTCTGGGTGGCGATAGCGGCAGCGCTTCCCTCGCTTGCACACGTTCCTCAGGAAGTCTCTACAGATGGCATCTGAGCTGGCCCCGCCACCACCTGCCCCTGTCCCACTGGCCTCCTCGCCGCCACCGCCTCCAGGGCCTCCACTGCTGCTGCCAGCGCCGTTGGCATAGCTGTCCCGGTCAGGCATCCTGGTCCCTCCCAACTCAGGGCTTTCTTCCTTTTCTTGCCACTCTTGGTGACCGCTAGGAAAGAGAAGAACTGTGTCAAACTGGAGTCCTCCAGAGAGGCCAAACTCTTCCTATCAGGCAGGCAGTCCAGCAAGAGGCAGGCCAGAGGGACAATGGTACTGGAGGTGGAGCAGCTAACGGCTGAGCACCCTGCCTGGACTGGCTGGCTGATCAGAAGTCCTGCCCAGGCCCTGGTGCTCCTGTTCTGTGGCAGAATGGTTCACACTTGCCTGGCTGATGGAGCAGAAAGAGTTGGGGTGAAGCCACCTCATAGAATGATGGCATGCCAAAGAGGCAGAGGGAGAGATTAGTGTTGGATTTTATTTCCCCTCCTGTACTGACCTTATTAAATTTGTGGAAGCAAAATTAAAACTGCTGTCAGTGTCTGATCAGGCTATGAGGAGACTAGGAACTGTGGCTAAGATAAGCTGGTGAGCTACTAAGGGCAATAGATAATGGGATACTGGTGACATTGCTTCCCTGACCCCCTCTTCCATGGGATGTCAGGAGAGGACTTTGTGAAGAAACAGATATGCTGACCCCAGGAAGTCCTGAGTAAAGATACTGGTATCACCACCTTGAGGGCAATATCTAAACTTGTCATTTTTTGGAGTTCTCTCCCAGATTACCCCTATTCTCAACTCTAGGATGGTCAGCCCCCTCCCCTCCATTTCAGGGGAAGAGTTCGACAGCTAGAATCTCCACTTATAGACCCCCCAAAGGACAAAACCATTTGTGGCAAGATCAAGGCAATAGAAAGGTGTTAATTTCACAGGAACAAGTAACCTGTCTTTCTTCACTCTATACCCCTCCTACCCTCCATGAGAAGATCTCACTGACATCAAACCACACCATTCCTCACCCCAAGAAGATCCTCTTTATTTATAGACTCTATAAAAGCTTTTTAAGTCTCTTCTTGCCCAAGCGATCTCAGGAATGTCAGTCCACTGCCCTGGTTCCAGCCCTCTCCTTTCCCCACCCCCAACAAGACTAGGAGTCTTGCTACCACGTGTCTGACCTCCTAAGCCTTTCCTAAGCAGTGTTCAGGCTCCCCCTACTGTTCAAATAGGAAAACTTCATATTGTTTCCCCTTGCGTATAAGGGAATCTTTACAACTTCTTTGGCCTTCATGGCCCCCAACCACCCAGTCTGTTGCCTTGACTTTGCTTTCAAGGCAAAGTGATCCCGAAAATATACCGACTGGATCACAGGCCAGAGCTGCCAGAGAATCTGTAGAAGAGAGGTCCGCTTCCTCCAAAGGGAGTAGTCCCAGAACAGTAAAAGCGATCAAGGAAAAGAGGGAAAAGAAAAGATAAAAACTTTTACTAAAAGGGGACTGACCTGCTGAATAACAAATGGCATCCATCCAAGCCTGACCCATGTTACAAATCCCACCAGAAGCAGACAATCATATCTGATACTCTTCCCCACCCAGCGTTCCCAGGATTGCGTGATACCTGAGGTAGCTCAGGTGAAGTCCGGGGCTCCTGTGGGTCTCCACCTCCACATCGCTGCTGGGTTCTGAGCAGGAGAAAAACAGAGACTCGGGTGTAAGAAGGGGTAAGAATGGAGAGCTACAGGGTGGCTGCAGCTCTAAGAGTGAAGTCTGACAAAGTGGAAAGAGCTCTATGCGTTCCAAGATTTCCTTCGGATTCAAATTGAACTTCCCCTGTCAAGGGGAGAAGCTGCCAGTAAGAGTAGTATGGGGCAGAACTAATTTGGAGAGCCTAGGAGAAAGAGGTGGAAAACCAGCTCTGAGTGAACAAAGGGTAAGGGACGCTTCTCGAGACGGAGGATGTAGGGATCAAAGCCCAGAGTCGGGCTGGGGTTAGGAACTCCGAAAAGGGAGCCGCGCAAGGGCTGCGACTGACAGTGCAACGGGATGGCGGGTTAGACTTGGGGGCGGTGATTATGACGCTTCTCAACACCCCAGAGTTCGGGGGGAAAAAAGTCCTAGGAGTTTCCCGGAGCAAGTGTTTCGCCTGGCAGGTTCTGTGCAGTGCCGCCGGAGCCCCGCCGGCGACCATACGAACAGGACACTAAGGGAGCACGAAGTGAAGCGGGAAAGGGAACTCCAGGTGACATCAAGCAGAGGGGATGGGCAAGGGTGTGACGTCACGGAGCTGGCGTTCGCTCGCGAAGCGGGGTCAGTCAGAAAAGGGGTTCGGCCCTACGACGTGAGGAACAGCCAACTCGGTCCTGGGGGGCCTTGTGTGCTTTGATACGAGCAAGGTAGGTCTCTCAAAGGTGGTCAAGGCGATCAGAATGGCAATAGATGTTCCAGATCCATTGAGAAGTTCTAGATAGTAGGCATGCAGTCCACAATTTGTACCAGCGTCCCTGGCCTCTGGCTTCCCTTGTTTCTGCTTCTGTGGCTTCCATGGGTGTACAAGTTTACTTGGACCTCTGCCTCATCTTTCTTCTTTTGCGCTTCAGCCTGAAAACCAGACATAAGAATACACCTCGGGCCCACAAACCCGAGTTCAGTCTTTCCCTCCAATCTTAAATGTGCACCCAATACAAGGGACAGGTAAAATCAACATTACGATTCTGTCGTCTTCTGCCCAATTCATGGCATTGGCCAGACTGCTCATAAGTTGTTGGATTTCTAAACCAAATGTTCGTCCCAAGTTTTGTCCACTTTGCTCCACTCCCCCCCACCCCACAGTACTAACTACGTCCCAGCATACCTGCGCATTCGCTTCTTTCTCCACTGGCAACCGATTATAACCAAGGACAGAGAATAAAACAAGGTATCATTAGTTTCAGTAACAAGTTTAGATAGAGATATGAAGAACACTAGGGGAGGCTTCCCCGGTGGCTTAGACGGTAAAGAATCTGCCTGCAATGCAGGAGACTCAGGTTCAATCCCTGGGTAAGGGAGATTACCTGGAGAAGGGAATGGCAACCCACTCCAATATTCTTGCCTGGAAAAGTCCATGGGCAGAGAAGCCTGGCGGGCTACAGTACACGGGATCGCAAGAGTCGGACACGACTGAGCGACTAACACTTTCGCAACTTTCATGAAGAGCACTACTTAGAAGCGGGTAGATTCTTGACCAAGTAGAGGGCTTAGTCGCAGCAAACCACATCAACAATCTGTACTGCCACCTGAATCCCAGACGGAAAACCCCGAATCCTGCCCGCATGAGCTCTCTCCCACTTCCAGCATCTCTCGCCACAGAACTTTACTACTACCTATTCTGCTTCTCCCCAGACCTTACGCACCGCCTATTCTGCTTCGCTCCAAACTATCCTTCCTCTCCCACTAGCTCGTGATCACAACCTGAGGACCCGGCGACCCCGGAACGATGGCAGATTTCCCTTGCCAAGGTCTCCCCTACGAACAGCCGATTCTTACAGCGTTAGCTCCCTGGCAGGGACAGCTTACCTTCGCTCTCATGGCGCAGAGGTTTCTACGGGGAAAGAAAAAAAGTCTGCGGTTAGTCTGCTGTAATGATGCTAAGTGCAGAGATCAGATGTTTATGGATTGTAGTCGGAACACGAACACAAGCATCAAACACTCACCTCAAAAGATGGCGCTAAGGCCGAGAGATCGCTCGGGGCCCGCCTACGGATATTTAATGGCATACTCAGTGTCGTCACCTCCGCTTTATCGCCCTGCCCTAGGGGGCGGGGCTTATCAAGGGGCGTGACAATCGCTTTTGGCAGTTCACTGGTGTGTGAAGAGTGATTAAGCTAGAAAAATTCTGTTGGAAATCAATATTTTTATGTACAAGATTCCTCTCACCTGTTTTATTATGAGGATATCGTATTATTTAGATATGAGCACATATTTCCAATAAGAGACCTAGAGGTGCAAACGCGCAAAGGGTAGCTACTTCCGCCTTCCCTCTCGTTGCTTCATGGGAGTTGCAGTTTCCTGGATATATCCTCCATTTTGCTGTGGATCCAGGCGGACTGTACGGAAAGTCCCGATTTGTTTTACTGGTCTGCTGCTGCTGCTGCTGAGTCGCTTCAGTCGTGTCCGACTCCGTGCGACCCCATAGACGGCAGCGCACCAGGCTCCCGTCCCTGGGATTCTCCAGGCAAGAACACTGGAGTGGGCTGCCATTTCCTTCTCCAGTGCGTGAAAGTGAAGGCGCTCAGCCGTGTCCGACTCTTAGCGACCCCATGGACTGTAGCTGGCCAGGCTCCTCCGTCCTTGGGATTTCCCAGGCAAGAGGACTGGAGTAGGGTGCCATTGCCTTCTCCGTTTACTGATTTATTATTTATTAAACTAATATCTGCAGGTTTGATTTTGGAACTTCCAACGGTTCTAAGATTGCAGAACATTGAAAAGATATAAAGCGGGGAATCGAGAAAGCTGTTATACTACAAAAAGAGACCTTTGTTATTGTTGAAGATAAACTTTTTTCCTAGTCAACTGTGGTCTTTCCCTACAATGCCTGAGGCAGAATGTCATAACATTCATGGCCACAATGCATCTTGTTGAGAAAAATACTTCAGTGATTCTCCCTCTGCATAGTGAATGTGGTTAAGTCTCTTCAGTCGTGTCAAATTAACAACAGATCTAGTTAATGGACAGAAGGAAAGCCCGATCAAGCTACATGTATATTTAAGCACGAATAGTATTTGGTGATGACAACTTCCCAGTATCAAGATATCGTCAGGTCAGAAGCACCCAAAAAAAGACACCATAAGATTTGGCTACAGAAAACGTGTATTATGAAGCATGAAAGAAAACCCTTCATCATACAGACTTCACCTTATTCACTATAAGATGGAGTGAGGCTTGTTAGGATTCCTTTTTTAGTGTTTTCTTTAAAACATTTCACCTTTTTAGTTCTGGAAAATCAGGTTTCTAAATTTCGGACCCTTGTTTCAAGTGCTTAAGTGGTTCTAGTATTGTCACCAATGGACTGTAATGTGTTTGAAAACAAAAATAAAACCCCCTGCAAGATATCAAACCCACTGGGACTTCACCTGTTGATTGCTATAAACTCTTATGAAGAGATTTGTGTTCAGTTTAATGTCTTCAGGTCAGCAGTAACTCATATAAAAAATGCTCTAATACATGCATTACCCATCAAATTTCAGGCTGGCTTGAAAAAATGCATTAACCCTAAAGGCATTCTTCCTGGCTTCTTAAACCAAGATAATCATTTTGCAGTTTTTTTAATTTTTGTGCAATAAACATTGTTCTGAATAGTGTCAGCAGTAAGGGGTGTTTTTACTTCAGAAAACTAGACCAAACTCCCATAGAAAATGTACTCATAATTCATAGAACCCAGGATTTTTGTCTTCCCCCAACCCAAGGTATTCAGTGTTTTAGAAAAGTAGAATATGGCTAAAGAAAACTGGTTCCAGGGATTTCTCTGGCAGTCCAGCGGTTTAGATTCCGTGCTTCCACTGCAGGGGGTACAGGTTTGATCCTTGGTTGGAGAACCAAGATCCTGCATGACATGCTGCTGCTGCTGCTAAGTCGCTTCAGTCGTGTCCGACTCTGTGCGACCCCATAGACGGCAGCCCACCAGGCTCCCCCGTCCCTGGGATTCTCCAAGCAAGAACACTGGAGTGGGTTGTCATTTCCTTCTCCAATGCATGAAGGTGAAAAGTGAAGTTGCTCAGTCGTGTCTGACTGTTAACAACCCCATGGACTGCAGCCCACCAGGCTCCTCCTTCCATGGGATTTTCCAGGCAAGAGTCCTGGAGTGGGCTGCCATTGCCTTCTCCATGCATGACATGAGGCAAGGTCAAAAAACCCCCAAAAAACTGGTTCCAAATGATCACTTCAGCTTACTCTCCCACTGCCATCAAATAAGAGCAGCATACAGACACGTGATTATGAGCAAATCCAAATTTATTTTAATGCCATGTCATTTTCAATGTGTTTAAAAACCTCATAAGTTAGTGGGAGCCCTAGTTCCCTGGGACGGCATGCCAGAGGTACTGAAAAGTCACCTTTCTCTCCAAACCCCTAGCAATTAACCCAAGTCCACAGCTTCAGAAAGCCAGGAGTTCTGGTTCTTCAGTCTGCTCCTCTGGTTACACATCTTTCTTTCAAGGAAGGGAGATCAAAATATTTCAAACAGGGAACAAAACCACAGTGGAGCTTCCAGCTCAGGTTTCTAAGATGGAGCAAGGGAGGAACCCCACTGACTTCAAAGAAATGGACAAGGTTGAGATGGATTACTTCTTTACAGCCTTGTGGAGGGAGGAAAAACTGTCCTGTAGAACAAAACTGACTACAAAGATTTACAAATGAGGATCCAATTGACAGATGAGAATCCATTGGTAAATGCAGGCTCCAGCTCCTAAAAATGGGAGGGGCCTGGCCAGACAGCCTGGATCATAAAAGGAATCTGCCACAGGTGGAAGAAAAATAGTCTGAAGAATAGCTCCTCTCTATTTTGAGGCCTGATAAAAGACTTGGGGAAAGTGGGAACAGAGAGAGGAACAAGCCCCAACAGATGGGAAAATGCTGACACTGGAGTGGTATAAAAAATTTCATCTGAGTTTTGAGTGGTGGCAGCTGTGAGCCTCCTCCCGTTCTGTTGTAGGGCCATAAACCTGGACCAAGCAGAGAATAGTAGAAAAAGGCTAAAAAGAGGGGCTTGAAGACGATGGATTTTGACTCCTGATTTTATTATTCAATTTCTCTTTTCTATTTAAAGTAGTCTTCGGTGGCTGGGAAGCCTGGCCTCCCAGGACCAGAGTCAGTTGGAGCTGGCTGTTGTTGGACAGGGGCTGGGATGGGGGGCTGGGAGGGGGACAGGGAGACCCCGCTCTGCTCGCGGTCCTGCGTGGAGAAGTCGAACTGCACTTCAGAGCCTGGGGTGTGGTGGGAGGGGATGAGGCAGGAGTGGCAAGCTGGGGGAGGGGACCCACCTCAGTCCCCAGCTTCATTCTCTTCTAAAGTTTCCCCACTGGTAGCATTCTCTGCGGTCTTAGAGGCCTACATTCATGGAAAGGAGAGGGAGAAGATGTGTCAGTTTCCAACAACTTAGGGTACTGTCTGGGGGACCAAGGACAAGAATATTCCTAATTCTCTAGGTCAGGGCTGAGATGGGGAGAACTAAGGACATACTGACACCTATATCCCCACCATGACCCAGGAAGGTGAATAAAGACGGATCAGGTTCACCCCACAAGGGAGGGATGATCATAACAAACCTTCTTTTTTTTCTTTTTCTGGGTTTTCCGACTTGCAGAACTCTGGAGGAGGGCCTGCAAAACAGAAAAAGGAAAACAAATTTTGAGGAACATGGAGCAAATGCCAAGTGCTACTCTTGGCCCTGTAGCTCTTCTCAGGACTTCCTGTCACTCAGTCCTCACTCCCAAAAAAACTGCCAGGTCCCCACTCCTTTCCATCACACACTAACCTTGAGCTCTGCATCCTGGACCTCCATCTCAGACTTGTAAAGGTCAGGCTCAAAAGGACCACTGGTTATCCGCATGGGGCCATTGGGCATAAGCAGAACTGTAAATTTAAACTGGGCAACAAATTCACCTATGAGAGAAACAAAGTGTTTTGATAGAATGTCCCCTTGCCTTCAAGGAGGAGGGGACCATAATCGGGGGGCTTCAAACTACAACTCTCTTCTCAGAACTCACCCTCCTTCTCATAGAGAACATTAAATGGTTGCAGCAGCTCATGTTTGGCGCACTCCACCACACCCATGCGGGCCTTCTTCTCATCTTCAAATGCTCTGGGGAGGGAAAGACAAATTCAGGTAGCCTTAACTCCCTGTCATGTCTTACCACTTTGTTCCTGTTTTTAAATAATGCCTAGTCTCAGGCAGAAGTCATGCGTAGGATTGCTTTTTTTTTACACTACTTCCTAGGAGAGGGAGAAGGAGAGAAGGCATGCATGCTGGCTGGAGCTACAAGTCTAGGTAGAAGAGGAGGGAAGGAGGGCAAGCGGGGTGGGGGAAGGAAAGAGATCTGGCTGTATGGTCTATGGGTCAGACTGCTCCAAGTCCTGTCCGCGCCAAGTGCAGCAGTACCTTAAAGTGAAGGGCATGGCATCAAAACGCCTTTCGACCTCACTGAAGAAGGCACGGGAAGTTTTCATTTTCAGGCCATACTGCTTAGAGGGGTCTCTCTTGTAAATGGTGGTTCTCTGTCCTGCATCTTTGGCCTATAAAAGATCACATGTGATCTGGTGCTCTTGGAAGCCACCCACAGCCTCCCCTCTCTGCCGGCTCTGGTAAACGTTCATCACCTTGCCCTCTCCTGAGCTGACGAGAACATCCACAGCATACACTTCATGTACCTCAAATTCAGCTTTTTCATGGTCCTTCCTAAAAGGAAAGGAAAGGGAACAATAAGGAGCAATAAGTGGTTCCTGGAGCTTAGAAAAGAAGGTGGATAAGATTAGTCCAGGTTAGAGGAGACGGTGGTCAGATTAGCCTGGAGTATGGAAGGAGAAGTTCATAACTAGTCTTATATGACAGAAGGTCATGGGATACAGGGCACCTACTTCTGCTGGTCTGTGGGATTCTGGATAATGGTTTTCTCTCCATCGATGACGTGCTGCTTCAATTGGTGTGACAGCATACCTGTAGAGAGGACAAAGCCTGTGGTACCACTCATTTAGAATCCAGATGTTTCCAACCCACATACCCAAGAACAACCACGGAGCAGGCAATGAGAGCAAAGTGCCCAGCTATGGAAACTCGGGGCACTGAGGTTTGGGGCTTGGATTATGCCAGAGCCAGAATGGATGCTCAATGGAACAAAAGTCTTAATTCTGCTAAACCACTCATACTGAGACCCTCAACCCCACTATCTGAAGTCTCACCTTCTATTGGTGTGCAATTAAATGAGTGGGCAACTTTGTTCCAGGCTTCTGTCACTTGTGTGTTCTAGAAGTACAAGATCAAATAAAATGTAAAATACCAGGAACTAGGATGTTGTCTATTATGAGCAGCAGCAGCACAAAAGAACTGAGTTCCAACATCCTCCAGCAAACGCAGTGATTCTCAGTAATTCTTCATTTCATAGCCCTAGCATCCTACAACCTAGAAATCAAATCTGCATACCATTTTACAAAGCGCTTTCACAAAGATGGTCTACTTATTCAACAATTCTGTAAGGCGACTAGTGCCAACAATTCTGTATGGTAATCTATATGCTAATCTGCAGGAGGAAAATGAGGCTCAGAAGGGTTACATATTTTGCTCAAGGTTAAACCAGTTAACCAAAAGAACCTGGTATAAACCCAGGTTTTCAGATCACAGTGTTCAGTCCATGATACCTGGCATTCTAACCTGTTGAAAGGATACAGAAAGTTTTATTTTCCCCTCTTTACCTCTTTCAATCATGATCTGATCCTCACCTAAATTACAGTCAAGAAAAAAAGGAAAGTGAATTCCCAATCATAGGTATTATTAAATTGTATGTCAGGTACTGTGATAATCACTTTATATGGATCATCTCAATCTTCACAACCCTGTGAGAATGAGGCACAATTTAATTTTTCCCACTTTACAGATGAGGAAATTTTGAAGTTATTTCATTTTAAATCAATAGTGGGTGTTAATGGGATAAGAATCCAGAAAGTCTCATGTCATAGCTAGACAACAACCACTACATTAATAGTATCTTCCAACAATAGTAAGTCTATAAATAATAAAAATAATCAATGTGTAAAATAATAATAGCTAACAAAAGGGTTAACTATGTGCCAGGTACTGTTCAAAGTGCTTTATGATAGTTATTTGATAGATACCACTGCAAGAAAAATACAACAGAGGCTGAAGTAAAAATGATGCAATTAAGTGATAATGGGGACAAACGGATGAAGAGGGTGAAGAGAGCACAGAAAAAGAGGATGCTTCACGTATTGAACAGGTTCTGAAATCTAAGTGTTAGACAAAGTCTCCACTGATAGTCTAACATGTTATTGTATGAATTTCATGAGAAATTTATGATCCCTGGGCTTCCTAATATTGTCTTGCAAGGGTCTTTGGCCTTTCTTTGCCACCAATTTACTGGTACTATTATTATTTTTGTGTTATAAGCTTTTAAAACTTAGTTTTACTATCTGTGTTTTATTGTGAGCTATCCATCTCAAATTATTTCCGGGAACAATACACATCCAAAAGATGAAAAAGGAAGGATCTCTATAGGCTCCATGAGAAAAGGATCACACATCCCCTTACAGAGAGCATCATACCACCTAAGGTAGGCACTAAGATTTAACAGGTCTTCAGTTTAAACTCTTAATTCCTGCCTCTTCTCTTTCGGTACAGAATAGCAGTAGATCCTGAATGCATCTTTGGCTCTATGAAGCTTTGGAGTTGGACTAAACAGCTCACCTGATTTCCAGGTTTGACCAGGCGGAGGGCAGCTTCAGCACAAAGGTGAGCTGCCTTAATGACATCTGCTTTCCGCCCTGTTACTTGGGTCCCCTGTAGAGGAGGAAGTGTAGTCAGCGCCTTCCCAGAAAGCTGGTCAGCTAATATCTGTGTGTCCATTATATATCCAGTGGTCAGCAGAGCAAACCCCTTTTCTTCTTTGATTTCTCTGCTGCTGCTGCTAAGTTGCGTCAGTCGTGTCTGACTCTGTGCGACCCCATAGATGGCCAGGCTCCCCCGTCCCTGGGATTCTCCAGGCAAGAACACTGGAGTGGGCTGCCATTTCCTTCTCCTTTGAGAGTCTAGAGACTCTCAAAACTTAATGTGGTGGTAGTAGGTGAGGATAAGAGGCAGTAGTGGGGGGCAGGGAGGGGGGAACAGCAGCAGTGGGCCCTCCCCAGCCCCCCACTGGCTGAACAGAGTTCAAAGCAGTCCACAGACCTGAGCTACACCAACCACAAAAGTGTGAGCCACGTTAGCGATGAAGCCGTCCACGTGGACCCCAAGGTCGCTGAAAGGCAGAGCAGAGCCCAGTGTTAGCGACTGGCACGGCTGTGCGCGCTGAGGAAGGACGCGCGCTCTAAGACGGGTCAGGCTTACATTTTTTATTTATTTATTTATTTATTTTTAATTTTTATTAGTTGGAGGCTAATTACTTTACATCATTTCAGTAGTTTTTGTCATACATTGATATGAATTAGCCATGGATTTACATGCATTCCCCATCCCAGTCCCCCCTCCCACCTCCCTCTCCCTCTGGGTCTTCCCAGTGCACCAGGCCCTAGTGGGCTGCCATTTCCTTCTCCTTTGAGAGTCTAGAGACTCTCAAAACTTAATGTGGTGGTAGTAGGTGAGGATAAGAGGCAGTAGTGGGGGGCGGGGGGGGGGAACAGCAGCAGTGGGCCCTCCCCAGCCCCCAACTGGCTGAACAGAGTTCAAAGCAGTCCACAGACCTGAGCTACACCAACCACAAAAGTGTGAGCCACGTTAGCGATGAAGCCGTCCACATGGACCCCAAGGTCGCTGAAAGGCAGAGCAGAGCCCAGTGTTAGCGACTGGCACGGCTGTGCGCGCTGAGGAAGGACGCGTGCTCTAAGACGGGTCAGGCTTACATTTTGACCAAGTCGCCCTCCTTGAGCACGTAGTCCTGGTCGCTCTTTAGCGGGGAGAAGTGACAGACACAGTTGTTCACCGAGATGCTGGTGGGAAAGGCGACGCCTGCGAAGAGACACAGCCTGACCGCCCACTCATGCTCAGAGCCCTCCGGCCCCTCCGAAAAGTGGATGCGTTTTCTCCAGGGTCTTGTTTAAGTCTGATCAGTCCCCTTGCCATTCCACATTTCCAAATATCTCAATCAGTGCTGGGGTAAAGGGTGCATTATTACAATAAAACAAACAACACTCAATAAAGGTCAAACGTAGTTAATTAGTAGGGGATTGGTTTTTTACCTTTCTTCATTTCTTTCTCTTTTTTGAAAATCTTCCCTGTTTCTTCCATTATCATGGCATCACCTTTCTCACACAGGCTCAGTACCGACACACCTGAACAGGATGCTTCCACCAAAGACCGAAGTACCCCTGGGAACAGAATCCCATATATCAGTCCTGAATGTGTTGTCTAAGTTAACGTCCAAGAAACACCTAGAAGTTAGACTTAAGAGTTTCTGAGTCCAACTTAGAAGTACCACTGCTCTAAGGATAAAAAGAGGAATATGTTTTGCCTCTTAGAATGTACCTACCTGTCATCTCTATAAATCTCTACCTTTCTTTCCTGAACTTAAAAAAGCCAACACTCCCTTTCCTCCTTTATATAGTGTGACAGCTAGGTATGCACCACCTGTCTCCTAGGCAAGGGAGGCTTTCCAAAGATGATACCTGTGGTATGGTAGGGCAGATTTATGAACTTCAAGGGTATTCTCACCAAGATATCCAACATATGCAAAGCAGACTGGAGGAAATTTATAGGCATCAGGGACAACAAAAAGGTAGACATACAACTGCTGACTCTAAGCTGATGTATTGTTAAATGCTACCTTCTTCCCTTCCCAGACACCCCAATTAGGGGGTGTTAGTAATCTCAATTTATGTAGACTTATTTCTTCAAATAACAAGTCAAGAAGACTTAACGTAAGTCCCTGGGCTTCAGCAAACTCTGCTTATAGCAGAGCTCATAGTAGTATGTGACCCAAAAGAGTTTCAAGCTGGTACTGCGAATCACAGGTGTCTCAGAAGTCATAAACTGCAAGAAGGAAAATTTTTTTTCTGATTTAAACCACCATATATCCATTGTGTTACAAAGCATTTATTCAGCATTTGTTCACCGATACCCTCTCCATGGTCCATCCTGGACTTCAGATTTAATTTTTGTGATCCAAGTTTTGGTGATTTTTTTTTTAAAGTCTGAAAAAACTCAGATTTTCAGTCACAGGATCAAAAGCATCCTAAATGCCTATCTTTACTGTCAAAACCATTTAAAAGCCCAACGACAAGCATTTTGTGTCCCCCTAACTGGGTTTTAAATTGGAAAGAGAGAAAATAGCAAGCGAGACATCTGCAGAGAGTGGCAGGCAGCTGCTGAGAAAGTCAAGAGCACAATCTTATTAAGGATGACTTCTGAGATTCTAACTTCAGACCCCCTTTAACAGCACTATTCACAGGTTTGACTGGCGGGGTGAGGAGGACCTCAAAACGCTCCTAAAGTTGTGAAACACCTAAGACCAAATTAGACGACTAACTAAAGCCAACTCCGCAGACTGGAGGTACAATGAACAACTTCAAGAACAGTCAAACAAGAGTTATGGGGTGCTCTCTAACGGTCCCTGATCTGACCCTAGAGTAGAAGGCGGCCCCCATCAGGGAAGGAGTTGAAGTAAAGAACGAAAGACTACAGCAAAGCACGTGGTAGGCAAGCTGGTGTCAGGCACGTAGCGGAGGAAGGTAGCCGGCCAGCCGCAGGGGACCTGGCAACACGTGCCGGCCAGGCTCCTGACGGCGGGGAGCCGCGACAAAACAGAAGCGCTTCCTTTCCGAAGTGGTCTCGCTGCCACCAATATCAGAGGCAGAAATGTGAACTGAAGCGTGAGCGGCAGAAGGTACACCTCGCCTTCTTACCAACGCCCTAGGGTCGGAGCTGGGCAGGGGCCCAGCTCTGCTCTTCTCCCAGCCGCCCTGCCGACCGTCCGCCAGCATCTCCAGAGACTCCAGCCCAGGCCCAGCCTCTCGGGTCCCAGGCGCGACACGGAGTCTCCCCACCACACCACGTCCAGCAGACCTGAGCTGGGCCCTCACTAGCCCACACTGCGTGAGCGCACCGCCCCAGCCCTCAGGAGCCGCCCGTCGCCGCCTCCCTCGACCCCCGAGGCCGCCCTCCCAGCCCCGACACCCGGACCCCCGAGGCCGCCCTCCCGGCCCCGACGCCCGGACCCCCGAGGCCGCCCTCCCGGCCCCGACGCCCGGACCCCCGAGGCCGCACTCACGGTTAGCGATGTCGCCCCCCATCTTATACTTGGTCACGACCAGGTCCTCGGCGATAGTTTGCTCCTGTTGCTCGTCCTCGCCCGACATCTTCCCGCCGCCACCACCACCACTGCAGCCTCGTTTCTCTTGAGCCGCCGCCTCTGTCGCCCTTCTTAGCCACAAGCTGTGGTCAGAACCCCTTCGATCCGCGAGGAGACCGCGAGCAAAAGCGCGAGCAAGCTAGGGAACGGGAGGGCGGGCGAGAGAGAGAAACTGCGAACGCGCGGGCTGAGGCGCAGGGCACGCTGGGACAACGAGTCCCTCCTACTGCCAGCCCCTAGCCGCCCTCGCGGACTACCGAACTACAATCCCCAGCATGCTTTTCGCGCCCCTAAGCCAGGCCCTGGGGCCTTGCCCTCCGAGGGCCTCGCACGCTGGAATCGCCGAGCACGCTGGGAAGGGTCAGGCTCCGGCGGGAAGGCGGAGCCGTTGGAAAGCACGAGGGGAAGCGTGGTTACTCCAGGAAAAACCATATCCACCAGGAACGCCGAGCGATAACCCGTAATAGAGCGGGGCGGGGTAAGGGAGGAGGGGCGGAGCTACGGCAGGGAAATAGGTTTGGAGGCTGAGGGGCGGGGTGGAGCCGAGGCGAGTTGGGAGGATCGTTAATAAGGGTGGGGAGGTGGGGTACGCCCTTCCATGAGTCCCTGGAGCTGCCGGCGAGACCGGCCGGGCCAGTCCTCAAGTCCTCAGGTGCTGGGAGAACCGGGAGGGGCAGAGCGGGTGTGGAAAGAGATCGGGAGTCCGGGAATCAGGGTCTGCTAGGGCAGCCAGACTTATGAGGGATTATCCCGATCTAGAAACCGGACTCCCACTGAAGGTGGCACTGTTGTTCTAACGACAGGCTTTGATGGCATCTAGGGGAGGTGTTCACAAGAGACTTTTTTTTAAAAAGAGAATGAGTTTTAAAACATGAATCTCAGTATTCTACCTCTTAGGGCTTTTTCTAACTTCCCCGAACGTGTTATTTGTTTTGTTATTCCCAGTTGGTTGCCCTATAGAGATTTCACAGTAAAACCCTTAAATGAAAAGGACTGTGCTCTATGCTTGTCTTAAGGGAATAAGGAAAAGTAGGGATGGAGACAGCGACATGGGGTCCAGTAGGATTGTCAAGAGACAGAAAGAAGAATCCACTGCTGAGGGACAGGGAAAAAGAGTGTTCTCATACACTTTGACAGGTTTTCATTTGACGGGCAGAAAGCTGCAAAACTTTGGCATTTTTATTCAGACGTATAAAAACAAAACAAAAAATTTCAGAGATAAAGATACCCCAGTTTCCCATCCAAAGGGACAGAGGTCTGAAGCTGGGTCCTCTTTCTATTCCTACTGGAAGCTTCCCACGACTGAATGAGAATAGCTCCTGAAAGTGGCTCTTGGGACCCCTGTGAATCTGTCCCTTGGGTGGAGCTCATATACAGCACATGTAGGCTACGGTTTACACAGAGATATCCAGTTATTTTTCCTTCTGACCACCCCCTTCCACTTCCTAGGATAAGAAGTCAGGGTGAAGGAGGAGGCTACAGTAGTTGTTGGAGTTAGACTTGATTCAGTGCAAAAACAAGAAGACAATGCTCCTTACCAGGGCTCTGGCTTACATCAGTTTTCCTTGATACCTTATAGTAAGAGCTCGTGCATTGGAAGATTTTTAATCATGGACCTGCTACTTGATTTATTTAATCTCTCTAAGGCTCCTCTGTCCATTGGATTCTCCAGGCTAGAATACTGGAGTGGGTTGCCATTCCCTCCTCCAGGGGATCTACCCGACCCAGGGATCGAACCCGTGTCTCCTGTGTCTCCTGAATTGCAGGCGGATTCTTTACCCACTGAGCCATCAGGGAAGTCCCTCTTTAAGGCTCAGTTTCCTTATTTGTAAAATAGGATTATACCTAGGTCACAGAGTTGGTGTGAAGGATGAAGTGAGATATAGGTAAAGTTTAGCAGGATGCTTGGCACATAGTAAACGCTCAATTAATAATCATTAATATCTACTCCCAACCTCTTTCTTCACTCCACAAGATTTCACTTCTCATTCTTTCTGCGGGGTTAAGGATCGTAAGCCAAAATTTTCCTTTCCCCTGCCAGGTTCCCCCCTTTCCTCTTCCTTTAAAGTCTAAAGGGAAATAAAGGCATACTTTAAAGCCTCGTGTCAACGAGTCAGAGTCTAAGAAAAAAGGACAGGAGTAATCCTTCATATCTCCAGGGAGTTCCCCTGAGGAAGCTGAGGAATGGGATTGGGAAAGCACACAAAATAGGGAAAACCATCTCCTTTCCTGGGATCAGGAAAGAGAAAAAGTGCACAGCTGGCTACATAACCAAAGAAATTTGTGTCAAAGTGTTTAAGGCCTCCAAACTTTGAATGGAATTGTCTAGGACTAGGAAATGGGGCTGAGACCTGTGAGGGAGAGAGACCAAGAAGAGAGTACTCTCCAAAGGCACTAGCTGCCATCAAACGCTCCCTGAGCACCTCAGCGAGCAGGGGTTATATTCTCTGGGCATTAGCTTTGGGGAAAAGCCTGCTATGCCAGTAATCAGGGTTGTCAAAGGCAGAGTCAGTGGCTTCTAAACTACGTAAAGTTTTGAGGCGGGCATAGTGGACCTGGGGACCGTGGAATACAGGCCCCTGGAAAGCTCTCATCTCTTCATACCCTTGCTCAGAGGCTGGGCAGGCGTCCATGGCCGCATAGTCCCCCCCAGGGCCTCCTCCACCGCGTCGTCGATTCATGTATTCGTAGTCCTCGTCTGGGGCTGTGCTGGCATTGGGCGTGTTGGGTGCAGGGTTGAGCGGGCAGCTCTGTGTGCTGCCCAGGGAGGCACTGAGGTCTGACCCCACATCCATGTACTCGTAACCCAGCTCCTCGAGGGAACTTGGCCTCGGGGGACGAGATGGGCTGCACCTTCTCCTCCGGTTCATGTATTCATATTCCTCATCGTCGTCATCTTCTGTACCCAGAACAGAACTGAGACCCACTGAAGAAAGAGTGCCTTCCCGGGAGGAGGTACCTAGGGGTAGAGAAGAGAGGCTAGGTACGTGGTATTCCTTCATGGTAATAGGCAGTGGGGAGTAGAAGGGTGTTAGGAAAAAATGAATAGGGAAGGATATGCTCAGAGAAGACAAAAGGATTAAGAGGAGCCTGCAGAAGGAGGATTAGAGAAAGATTTGAGGAAAGCACCACAGAATCAGGCACCTTTGATGTGTGCATCTGGCATGACATAACCATTGACATCCTCTTCCTCTAAGCCTGGGGGGGACTGTGGAGTGACAGGAGTAAGCAGGCTATGGCGCTGGGAATGGTAGGCACTGTCCCCTCTTGGCCGCGGGCTCCGGCTCCGGCTTCTGCACATAGACACCTTCTCCTGGAGCTCAGCCTCGGAGCCTGTCACATGGCCCTCCGATGATTCTGATGCCAGGCGTCCCCGTGGCACTGGGTGCAGAGAGGCTGGCCGGGGGTACCGTTCATTGCCTCCAAAAACTGCAGACTCCTAAGGAGGAGAATGATACATGGTGATTTACACAGAAACGAGGGAAGAGAAATTTGTCTAGAAAGAGACTAGGCTGTTCAGCACCTTTTGTTTTGTAAAACCCTGATCAAACCAGAGATTTCCAAAGTCTCCCCTGCCACTCTACCAATCCTAAGGCATTGCCACCCAACCTCTTGGTATCCTCTTTTTTAAATTTTTTAAAAAATGTTTTATTTTTATATTGGAGCCTAGTTGATTAATAATGTTATGTTAGTTTCAGGTGTACAACAAAGTTATATGTTCATCTATTCTTTTTCAAATTCTTTCCCCAACTAGGTTGTTACAGAATCTTGAAGCAGAGTTCTCTGCCGTATACAGTAGATACTTGTTGGTTATCCATTTTAAATATAGCATCTTGGCCTCCTCTTAAACAGACCTTACCTGGCCAAGCTCCCCAAGATTTCCCTGGTTCATAGGCATATATCCAGATGATGGGCTTATAAGGCTCTGGCTCTAGGATGAGAAAAGTGAGGAAAAGGTTTAGATTAAGAGAGAAATCTGCTCACTACAGAGGCCTCTGAGTAATTAATATGGACATCTGTGGGTTCATGAGGGCGCAGGTGTGCAGGTGGCTTATAAAGTCTTAGGAAACTGGAAAGTGTCTTACCCCACGTGGTCGATTAAGTGTTCCCACTGGCAGGCTAAGGGCAGAGCCTAGTGTGGTGGCCAGATTCTCCTCCTCTGCCTCCAGCTCCAGGTCCAGGTCTAGTTCTGGCTCCAACTCTACTTCCTCCAGTTCCTTGTTCGTCAGAGGTGGGGGCTCTGCCCCAGGGGAAGTTCCAGGCCCACTCTCTCTCTATGAGAGCAGGTGATTGTTAGGGTAGATCCTGGCTCCAGCCAAGTTCCCCTTTCTCTAGATCTCCTTGGTACCTCCAGGTCCCTACTCACCTTTATGACCAGATACCGTGGTGGGTCTCGGGCCATCCTGGTGAACTCATTGGCTAGTTCTTTAAAGGTCGGTCGAATGTTCTCATCAATCATCCAACCTGGGGATAAGATGTAGAAAGCAGAGCTATAAGAGGGGAGTGGAGTAGGGAGTAGGGAGGGAAGTCACTTAGAAAATAGCTGATGCTGTGTTCCCTCCCCTCGTCTTTGTGTGGAGAGCCTGATGTCCAACAGCATCACAATGTTTAATGTTTATTGGGCAGTGCTTAATGTGGAGAGTGCTTAATGTTTATTGGGCAGAGACCATCTGGGGCATGCACTGCTGTTCTGGGTATTCACTTTTCATCACTGAGCATTGTTTATCTGTGCCCTTATTTTTCTTTTTTCTTCAGTTCAATGAAGCAATAATGAAGTAAGAAAAAAAAAGCTGAGATCAGCAGGTAACTCACACTTGACCATGACCATGTAGACATCAATGGTACAGATCTGGGGCTGTGCCAACCGCTCCCCCTTCTCCAGCAGGTCTGGTATTTCAGCCAGTCGCAGCCCTGCGTAGGGCTCTGCCCCAAAGGTCATCAGCTCCCAAACTGTCACTCCTGGTATAGGAAGACATGACTAGTTGATGGCAAAATAGTAGACATGGGCATGCGGATGAAGGGAAGGCAGAACTTGATCTGACCCAGGATCTGAAGGGCTTAGAGATTCTAAGAAAGGGTCTCAAAAGGCAACTTTGGAATTTGGGCTATTAGTATTATGGTGGGCATCCAGATGGACTGACCATAGCTCCAGACGTCACTCTGGTGTGTGTATTTCCCAAAATGGATACTCTCCAGGGCCATCCACTTAATTGGAGTCTGAGGGATTAAAGAGAAAAGCATTACCAACTGATTTCTACACATTGTCTTAGCATTTCTAAACCCAGGTTCTCCATTGTTCTTTCCTTTTTTGCTCCCTAAACTTTTATTTCTGGCGTCTCCAGGTTCCTCTCCTTGAACTGATGGAGAGCATCAGTTGGCCGGGTCTGATGGCCTCTGAAGGAGACCACAGAGCACACGCTCCCTTTCCCTTTCCTCAGCCCACGCCCACTCCTTACCCAGCCTCTGCACCACCTTACCTTGGCTTCACTGTACAGTAGCTGCTTATCATCAGGGGGCAGCAAGTCAGCAACCCCAAAATCTGCCACCTGAACCTGGCTGGGTGATTTCAGTAGCACATTTCGGGCAGCCAGGTTCCTATGCACCATGCCATGTTCCTCAAGGTAGTACATTCCCTGTAGGGAAGGAAGTTTTCGCAAGGTTGGAGAAATGGGTTCTCAGTTGAGCCCCAGAATCACCACAAACCCTCAGGCATCTCTCAACACTTCCAGCCCCGGTCCCCCTGCAGGCCCGTAGGCAGTTCCGTCTTTAACCCCCCTGCAGGCTCCCCCGCTCACTTTGGCAATCTGCACTCCCCAGTTGAGCAGCAGCTGAGGCCCCAGCGCCGCCCGGTGTTGCTTCACGTGGTCCAGCAGGGAGCCCAGAGGCAAGTACTGCGTGACGAGCTGCAGCGATGGCCCCGGACACAGCCCCAGCAGCCGCACAATGTGGGCATGGTCGAGGCTGCCGATGGCCAGCATGTGCTAAAAGACGCAACGGGAAGGGTCATCCTGGGAACAGACAGGTCCACATAAAACCAGACCAGGGCTCCCCCAACATTCAAGGACATCTCTGTGGCTAATACAGCACCTGCTAACACAAGACCGTGTTTCTACATGATTGAGTCTGATGGCTATCCTCTCCTAGTGGCACCCGGAGCACTCAGCCCTCACTTACGTCCGTCACAGCTTGAAAGCTTTGCCGGCCGCTCTTGTCCTCAATGACTTTAATGCAGACTGGAATCTTGATTGATTCACCCTCAGGAATCCACACACCCTGGGAAGTTTTGGGCAGGAGTCAGCCTAAGGTCATTCTCCCCAGGCTACTCCTTTCCCTGGGTCTTTTTTTTCCTTTTCCCAGTTTTATTGAGGTATAATTTACATATACTACTGTATATGTTTAAGATGTACAGCATAATGACTTGACTTACATGTATCATGAAAAGATTACCACAATAAGTTTAGCGAATATCCATCATCTGAGAGAGAAACAAACTTAAATAGAAGTTTCTTTCTTATGATGGGAAATCTTAACTTTTAAGAGGATTTACTTTCTTAACTACTTTCATATATAGCATACAGTAGTGTTAATTACATTTATCACATTTTACATCACTAGTGGGCTTTCCTGGTGGCTCAGCGGTAAAACGTTTGTCTGTAATATAGGAGCTGCAGGAGATGCAGTTTCAGTCCCTGGGCAGGGAGATCCCCTGGAGAAGGGCATGGCAACCCACTCCAGTGTTCTTGCCTGGAAAATGCCATGGACAGAGGAGCCTGGCAGGCTACAGTCCACGGGGTCGCAGAGTCAGACACAGCTGAAGCAACTTAGCATGCATGCACATCACTTAGAACATATTTATCTTATAACTTAAGTTTATACATTTTGACTGCCTTCATCCAATTCCTCCTCCTCCTACCCCAGTGGAGAACCTGGGCTTCCCTAGTGGCTCAGAGGTTAAAGCATCTGCTTGCAATGTGGGAGACCTGGGTTCAATCCCTGGGTTGGGAAGATCCCCTGGAGAAGGAAATGGCAACCCACTCCAGTGTTCTTGCCTGGAAAATCCCATGGACAGAGGAGCCTATGTGGGCTACACTCCACAGGGCAGCAAAGAGTCGGACACGACTGAGCCACTTCAGTTTCTTTCTTTTCTACCCCATCTCTACTTCTGGTAACCTCCAGTCTCTCCAGTCTGACCTCTTTTTTTCTGAGTTTGCTAGCTTTTGAAGTCTGACCTAGAACACTGTTAAAAGGTATGGGATGAAAAGCTCTCTCTCCAGTCTCTCCCCTCCTTGCCCTAGATCCTCCCCTCATCTCCCCACACTTCCTATGGGCCACTCACTTTGTGCACACTTCCGAAGATACCGGAGCCCAGCACTTTAAGCTTCCTCAGCTCCGTTTCTTTGAAGACTCGGGCCAAGACTTTGTTAGCCTTCTCACTGGGATCCAGAGGCTCTACACTCTGCAGAACAGACGGGAAGGAGGTACTCAGGAAAGCCCACTCCCATGTCCATCTGCAGCCCCCTCGCCACAGGTGCCTGCCAAGAGCAGCAAAGGCTGGAGGGGCGGGAACAGGAGGAGAAACGTCTCTAGTCTTAGAAGCTGTTTCAGGCCTATTGGGGAATAACAGACCTTGAGGACTGAGGAAGTTGTGTTCATGAGATCAGGAATCAAGAGGGCTGGATTTTCCCTTTGATGGAGGGACAGGGGAGAGGGCTGGTAATACTATCACTTTGATTAACTTTTCAGACGTTGAATTTTTTGTTTTATATTGGAGTGTAGCCAATCAACAATGTTGTGATAGTTTCAAGTGAGCAGCGAAGGAACCCAGCCATGCCTTGAGTACTTTTATGCATTCTCTGTTCTTCAGAGCATTTTCACGTACATCATCCTCTTTCACCCTTACAGCCATCTTGTAAGGATGTTATTGTTTCCTCTGTGTATGTGCATAAACTGACAGAGAAGGAAGGCAACTTCTTGAAAGTCATGTGGCAAATTAATGGCAGAATCAGGAGCCCCCCATTTCTCTGGGCAGAGTCCTTTCTGGTGGACCACACCACCTCCTGGAGGAAAGGGAAGAGGCTCTCCAAGGCTGATGGTACAGGGCACACTTCCCGGGTAAGACAGGCACTCACCTCACCCCGTTCCAGGTAGCGTCTCATTGCCCTCTTATTCTGAATCTGGCGTCCACGCCAATAGAGAAAAGTGCTGCCCAGGATCAGGAAAATCACCGCCAACCCTACTACCAAAGTTAAGGCCATTGCCAGATGGGTTTTGCTGTAGGACAGAGAAGCCCAGAATTATCCTGGGTCTATGTTTCCCATACAAATGTCACTTACACCTGTACTAAACATAGAGAACAGATCTTGGGCAAGAAGTTAACGTGCACATCTGCGTATATCCTTGAGCAATAAAGGGGCTAACCTAAATCTCCACCCCAAGACTACTGCAAGTTGACTTTAGGAAGGAAGGCCAGAAACCTGGATTCCTGTGTCCCTGAGTCCCATGATTGTAGCCTACATATAGAAGGCCAGAATGAACAGACTCAACTCTTTGCAGGAAGTAACTGCCCTTCCCCAGATATCCCCAGCTCCCTAGACCTCTAAGCCCACCATACCTGATCAGTGGCAGCAGTTGGCCTAAACAGTCTTGTAGCTCTGGTCCCTTACACCTGGAGAAGAAAGTCAGCTCCTTAATGTGAGCTTGGGAGACTCCCAAGGGAGGCTTAATTCCAACAACCTCAACACATAACATTGTTTGAGACCCTTCCATGGCATCCAGTCCTGGAGCCCAAAGCATATCCCAAGACATGGCCCCCATCTCTGGCTCAGCACCCTCCCCGAGTCCCTCTCTTGAATGACACCCCCGAGTTAAGGCTACACCAGGCATCTCAAATTGTGTTGTCATTTTGAGCGGTTACTGCGTTTCCCTTTCTCCAGGGCTTTACCGCACAGCTGGGAGTGGTTCTTTCATCGTAGTTCCTCTCTGGAAAGCTCTACTTTCCCCCTAGCTCTGTGCTCCCACCCCTCTTCCAATACCCTTTTATCATCCCATCACTGACCCCTGGGTGCAGTTCTCGTGACAGGGCCGGCATTCATTCTGGGTATCTGGGTACTTGTAGATGGGGCCCTTGGCACCGAGGACTCCAAAGGGGCAGCTGCTCACACAGTGGGGCCCGTCTCGGAAACTGGCACACCGGGCACAGGCATCAGAGCCCTGAGCGGGAGAGAGCGGGTCAGGATGGACGCCACACGCCCAGCAGGAGCGCACCGACCGCTCGGTTTCCTCCGGCCTCCCTGTGTCTGCCTAAGGCCTGGAACTTTGGCCACAGCGGCCCCTCCCTCCCACAAAGCCCCGGCGCTGCTACTGTACCGAGCCATTGCATGTGGCGCTGCCCTCCACGGGCTGGCACTCCGGGTGGCAAGAGAAGCACTCGGCGTCACGGGCAAACTCACGAGGCTCCCTGGGCGGGGGTGGGGTAAAGGGAGGGCAGTCAGATCCAAGGCCCGACCTGCCCTGACCCCCAAAACCACAGCGCTCCTACCTGATTCCCGCCAAGGCATGTGCAGAAAGCTAGCTGAAGGCTTTCGGGTGCCACCTGAACATTTTCCTCCCGTGGCCCAACCCCCCACCCCTTCTCCACTCTTCCCTCACTGTACCCGTTCAAGAAGTTGCAGTGGGTGACACAGACGCCGCCTCGGCTGTAGTTCTGGCAGGATAGGCACTGGCCAGGGCCTGGGCCCCAGCATCCCCCAGAGCACAGTGGATCACACACTTTGCCCTCAGCCACTGGAAAGGAGGGGCTGGGTTAGGAGGAGCCTGAGGTCTCCTAACCAGCCTTTTCCTTACTCTTGCTCATCACTGCTGCTGCTGCTAAGTTGTTTCAGTCGTGTCCGACTCTGCGACCCCATAGATGGTAGCCCACCAGGCTCCCCCATCCCTGGGATCCTCTAGGCAGGAACACGTGCTCATTACTGTTTCCAGCCTAATGTCCCCCTCCCCTTGGCTCCATCCCTCATCCGTTCTCCGACTTGCAGGGCAGAGCAGTCCTTACACCCCTCTCCCACCTGACTCCCCCACCCATCTGTCCTGGGCCCTTTCCCTCACCGCATTCTCTGCGGGGCCGATTATGCTTGATGTCCAGCCTCTCTTCTGAAGGCCCCCGAAGCAGCCTGGTCCAGTTCAGGGCATGGTGGTAGCACAGCTGCTTGTTGGCGCTGATGTAGATACGCCCAGCACTGATTTCTTTCAGGGATCGGAAGCCCAGAGACGTTACATTCAAGTTCTTCATGATCAACAGTGAGAAGCCCCGACTGTGAGCAAGGATACCAGATGAGAGGGGAGACCACAGAGGAAAAACTGACCAGGCTTTGGATTCATCTTCCTTCAACAGATTTGCTCTGAACTAGTCACTGAGAGGGACTTCCCCTCCTGTAGCCTTTGCCCCATCAAACTCCCACTGTATAAGCATGCCTGCTAAGTCGCTCAGTCATGTCCGACTCTTTGTGACCCCACGGACTATAGCCCACCAGGCTCCTCTGTCCACGGGATTCTCCAGGCAAGAAAGCTGGAGAAGTTTGCCATGGCCTAAAAGGATCTTCCCAGCCCAGGGATCGAACCCACATGACATCTCTGTCTCCTGCACTGGCAGGCAAGTTCTTTACCGCTAGCGCCACCTGGGAAGCAGGTGTGAGACCAGACCTTACATTTCACTCAAGATGCCTAAGAAACAGAATTCTTTGCCTCCACACCCCGTACTCACTTGTAGAGGCTTCGGCCCCCAATGGTCGTCAGGTTTGAAAAGACACTGAAGTTGTGCATGTGGGGAGGCCAGGACTGGATGTTCAGGTAACCTGCAGGGATGGAAGAGGGCGTGTGATGGGGAGTCTCCCCCCTCCCCTTCTCAGCTGCTTGGGACATGGTCTTCTCAAGTGATGACACTGCAGTTTGTGCCCGTGGCTCATCTAGCGCTCTCAGAAAGGGCAGCCTCTTCCCCTCCCACTCACCCGTGATCTCCCGCACTGTCCGAAAGACATTGAGCTTCTCAGGGTCCAGAGCAGGGATCTTGTGCCAGGGGTCTCTGGAGAGAACAGTGAAGACCAGTCAACAAAGCAGAAGCGTAACCTAGTCGCAGTAGGCATGCCTAGTTTTAAATGCCATTCTTCACTAGAGCCAGCTTGAGCGGATCAAGAATAACTGAACTGGTTAACTGGAATAATGATTCTAAGAGACTATGAAACATTGACTCAAGCCAGTATCACACAGATCAAACACACCAACACGTAAATAAACAGGAAGGAAAGGCTCTGCCTAATACCAGAATGCCAACAAGTTGGCATCTATTTGTGAGGAACAGGAAGGCCTGGTGTGCTGCAGTCCATGGGGTCAGAGAGTTGGCCACAACTTAGCAAGTGATCCACACAACAACAGCGGAGTTAGAAAAGCATCATCTGGCAATTCTCATAAAAACTGGCTCGGGGGACTTCCCTAGTGGTCCACTGGCTAAGACTCCACACTTTCAATGCAGGAGGCCTGGGTGCGATCCCTGATCAGGGAACTAGATTCCACATGCCACAGCTAAGACCTGGCATAGCCCAATAAATATTTAAAACACAAAAAACTGCTTCAAGCAAGCACCTCCCCTGAAAATACTTAATTGAAAAGGGAAAATAACTTTAGAAAAGCTGGCAGACACCACCTTAACCAAATGACCAGAGGCATCATCACCAGTAGTGGGACAGATGATCATCACTCGCCTTCTTGATAGGATGCACTGAGACCACGTCTGCAGTGTTATCAGAAATGCCTAACTTGAGAGGGAGGGGGCACAGCTAAACCTGTGGCTGATTCACGCTAATGTTCGGTAGAAACCAACATAATTCTATAAAGCAACTATCCTTCAATTAAAAATAAATTTTAAAAAGAGATACAGATTTACAATTACAAAATAAGTCACAGGGAGGTAATATATAGCATAAGGAATATGGTTAATGTAATGATTTTGTTTGGGGACAGATGGTTACTAGACTTGTGCTGATATTATAGTGCATTTAAATGTCAAATCACTAGGCTGTACATCTGAAATTAATGTAATATTGTATATCAACTATATTTCAATAAAAAAGAATTATGTAAAAAAAAATGCCTAACTTGAATCTAAGTGTGAGGAAAACATTAGACAAACCCAAACTGAAGAACATTCTACCAATCACCTGACCTGTACTCATCAACAATGTCAAGGACATGAAATGTTACAGATTAAAGGAGATAATGGATATACATGTATGATCTGGGACATCAGTAAGACAAAAGAGAAACCTGATTAACATCTGTAGATTAGATAACATTTTGTATCAGTGCTAATTTCTTGATTTAAACAAATGTGCGGTGGTTAAGTAAGAAAATGTTCTTGTTTCCAAGGAACACAGACTGAAATGTCACTGGGGTGAGAGGACACCATGTCTGGAAATTTACCTTCAAGTGGTTCAGAGAAACAAGAGCGTATATAATGAGTGTGTGTGTGTGACGTGTGGAGAGAGAAATGACGAAGCATATGGTACACTGTTTGGAGAAGGCAATAGCAGCCCACTCCAGTACCCTTGCCTGGAAAATCCCATGGGCAGAGAAGCCTGGTGAGCCGCAGTCCATGGGGTCGCAGAGTGGGACACGACTGAGCGCCTTCACTTTCCTTTCCTTTTTTTATGGTGCACTGGTAACGCTTGGGGATCTGAATAAAGATTATGTGGAAAACCTTTGTGCCATTTTTTGCAGCTTTAGATGTAACACTGTCCAAAGACAGGTGGTTCTCTCACGCACGCTCACTGTAAATGCTGTCCCGTGGACTGAAACGTGCCTTGCTCTCTGTGGCTCCATGCAAGGAGCAGAACTAGCTGAAACAGCTGGAAGTCATGGGGAGACAGATCTCTATCCAATTTAAGAACACTTAGACACCTTTGAGGAGGAGGCCATTCCGCCCCTGCCCCTTGCCATTCAGGTGGCTGCGCTGCTCAGGGGTGTCTGGGGATTCCAGCCCTGGGGAATTAAGCACTGTCCGGCCCTTTGTGACCACTAAGGTTTTATGATCTAACTTCCTGATCAGCTCCACGTACGAAGGCTCGAACCAGTGCCATGAACTGTGAGGGGGCTGATGGGGTGGGGGGTCAGAGGAATCTCTCACCCATTGAGGCCAGTGATAAGAAAGTCCAGGTTGCCCAGGATCTTGGTGCAGTTCACGAATCCATCAATGTTGCTCGAGTCCACAGTCTGGAAACGACTCCCAGAGCCTGTCCCCTCACAGGCTGCAAACACAAGAGGCTCAGTGTGGGGATGAGGGGTCGGGGCTGCGTAGGCTCAGGGGAAAGGGTCTCTCTTCACCAACTCCTTTCCACCTCGTACTCACCTTTCGGGCACAGACCCCCACAAGGTTCACACATCTTGAGTCCATTTTTATCTACTTCCATCTTGTCAGGAGGACAGGCCCTGACACAAGACGTCTGATCCACCACAAAGTTATCTAGGAAAGAGGAGAGAGATGAGGGAAGGACACTGCCAGCAACCAGCTGACCCTCCTCCCTCCTCACCTGCAGGGGTTTGCTCCAGCCGACCGCCCGAGGCTCCTTGAGTGCCGTCTCATGGATGAGAAAGGCCCTCTGCTCTTTGGATCCAAAAAGCAGAACTAGGAGCGACTGGTGGAAGTCATGGGGACGCAGATGGGGGAATAGGACATAGGGGCCATTTGTTAAGGGTGCCGATCACAACCCATGGCCCTTTACACTCTCAGTTAACCTCCCAACTTGATCCATTTCACCTCCTAAAATTGCATCTAGGGAATTTCCTGGCAGTACAGTGATTAGGACTCCGTGCTTTGACTGCTGAAGGCTCGAGTTCGATCCCTAGTCAGGCACATGGCCAAAAAAAAAGAAAAAATTTCATCTAAAACCCTGGTTCATATTGTGGGAAGAAGCACAAATTAAGGGGTAGGATGTGCTTACCCCTGGGGTAAGATGTGTAGCAGGAACCAGTCTGGCAACATGGCCAGGAGTGCCACTCAAAATATCACCATTGACTTAAAGTTTTATTTAGCCTTCATTTATACCCTTGAAGTCGATAAAGTCTTGCATTTTATTAGTGAAGTTGGAAGATGTATCATTTGTTTGTTGTTCTGTCCCCTCCCCCAATATTAAACTTGAAATTTGATTTGTTTAAACTCTGGATGAATCATAGCTTACTTTGCATGTCCGGCTAATTTGCTTCTATACATTTTCTTTGATTCTCTTTCTCCTTCTCTCATGGTTTTTACTGAATATAGATATGTGTGTGTGTGTGTGTGTGTGTGTGTGTGTATAGATACATAAATAGATAGATCTTCTTAAAAGTTTTTTGAGGTGCAAGTTTCTCTGTTTTGTTCTTCTCTGTGATTTATGTACATGATGCTGAGATTCAATCACTACATAAAACTCCCGGCTGTGAAAACAAAACAAAAAACCCAAAGGACTGTTTTTTCCACCAGCTCCGGGGAAGCTATGTGTCAGTCGGATGCTGGTTTCAGAAAGATTCATTGTTCCTTCCATTCTCTTTTCCTCTTTCCTCTAGAAAGAAGCTGATCGTAGTGATTTCAGCCCATGCATTAAACAAAATAATAAATGTGTGGAATTCATATTTTTCTAAAGGGAACTTAAAAACTGCTGCTACATGTTATATACAAAATTGCTTTACACCACATGAACAGAGAATCCCAAGTTCAGTTTTGGTACTTTTCCTTCCTCTTTCTTTTCAGTCATATAGTACCTCCAAATTCAAAATGAGAAGAAAAGCTATTCTGTATCATACCATCTATGCTGTAAATGTTATATTTTAAAAACAGCAGGTCGCTGGTCACACACACACTAATAAGATAAGATAAACAAAATCCTGTCAGGGACTTCCTTGGTGGTCCAGTGGTTAAGAACCCGTGCTTCCAGTGTAAGGGGCATGGGTTCAATCCCTGTTCGGGGAATGAAGATCCCACATGCTGTGCAGTGTGGCAAAAACAATATTAAAAAAAATAAATAAAATAGGTAGGACTTCCCTGGCGGCACAGTGGAAGAGAACCTGCCTGCCGGTCCAGGAGACACAGGTTCAATTCCTGGTCTGGGAAGATCCCACGCGCAGTGAAGCAAAAGTCTATTGCCACAACTCCTGAGCCTGGGCTCTAGAGCCCACGAGCCGCAGCTGCTGAAGCCTTTACGCCCACAGCCCGTGCTTCTTGGCAAGAGGAGCTGCACCATGAGAGGCCCACACATCGCAGCTAAGACCCCGGTTCACCGTAAACAGAGGAAGCCCGCGAAAAGCAACCAAGACCCAGCGCTACCACACACATCAATAAATGTTTGTAAAAAAAATGACTGAAAGACTAAAATCCTGGTTCTGCTACCATCGTTCCTTCCCTTCAGACACTTACGGGGGCAGCTGGCTACGCACACTCCTCCATACTGATACTTGGTATGGGGATTGGGTTCCAACTGGAAAGTGAGCTTGTTGTAGACGAGAGGCTGTGGACACTGGCGTACACAGGCCCCGCTGTCATTGAAGAGCCGGCAGGCCTGGGAACACAGAAGGCTTATGAGACTCACGTTACGTGTGCAGCCGACCTCCCCCCCCCAGGCCCAGGTCCCACTTCAGAAGTCGGGGGCGGCGGCACGTACGAAGCAGTCTGTGTTCTGAGGGCCCGAGCAGCCGCCCGCACACTCGTCGTGGCAGCACTGGTTGGGGTTGGGCCCAAAGCAGTGACCGTTACACTGGGGGGCACAGATGGTCTTGGTCACTGTGGGAGGAGAGGAAGCACAGCTGTCAGCGCTTCCGAGACCGTGTTCGGAGGCTCTCCCTCACCCTCTGGGCTCGCCATCCCCACCCCCCGGCACAGTCGGGGTGGAAAAGGATAAGAAAGTGGCCACGAGTTTGAAGTTTTTAAAATGAAGTTAGACCCACGTGTCTGGCAGTCTTCTGGCCCAGGACCCCAGCATCGCCCCTTGCAGGCCTCATGACAGGGGGGACCTGGTTGGGAGGGAAAGAGGCCGTCAAAAAGGCTTGCTCAAATCAACAGGGGATGATGTCAGCACACAGGCACCCGGTCCCGGGCAGCGAGGAGCCAGGGCGGCGCCCCTCCTTGCCCGCGCAGAGCAGGGCTGGGCTCCAGTGAACCTGTCAGCGCGGGGCGGAGCCGCGCCCCCACACCACCCACGGGGCAGCTGAGGGCAGGGCCCGGGCAGTCCCAAGCCAGGGGTTTGGTTCTTGGCGGCTGACTGAGCTCAGCAGGAACACGCGCGAGTGAGAGGACAGGCAGTGGCAGCCTGCAGCCTGCAGCCGGGGGCAGGTGGGCTCCGAGAAGGGGGGTGCTGGCGCTGGGGGCCAGACCTGGCTTCCCACGCCGCACACAGCTCCCCAGCCCCTTTCCCTGGCACCCTGCCTCTGCAGTTCCGGCTCCAGGCGACCGACCTGCATCCTCCTGGCAAGCTCCTTGGGTGAGAGCCTGCGGTTTGTTCAAGGGAGACTGGGTTCGGATTAAGGACACGCTGAGGAGCACAAGGGAGCCGCTCCGGCCGGCTGGGGGGCAGGCTCAGTCCCGGCCACTCACAGGTCTTGCCGTTGTTCTTCACCACGATCTCAGCATCCCGGTCCCGCACGATGTCCCTCCAGTCGATTGTGTCCATGTGACAGAGTTTCTCGTTCTTCTCAATGTAAACACCCCCTGACAGAATCTCTGAGGTGGGGAAGACCAGTGTCAGGGTCAAGGGCTAGTCAGGGGCGCCCCCCCGCCCCGTCCCCACCAGCTTGAGAGGCCACCCCAGTCAGGAGCGGGAGAGGTGGGGCAGACAGATACATCCAATTAAGTCCAAACTGCAGACGCCGTGCAGGAGGAGGAGCCGGGCTGAAAGAAAGCCCAGCCTCCTCAGACACCTGTCCAGATCCGGTTGAGCCAGAGGGGGAGGGGAGGGGAAGGAGAGAGGAGCCCTGACTCAAGCCCGCACCCACACCCCCGCGGGCCGACCGGCCTGTTTTTCAGCTGACTGGGACAGGGAGAATTTCAGCACCAGGCCTGAGCCCGCGGGCTTGGGGGGGCTGGTTCTTGGGGTTGGGGGGGTTCCCATTCCCAGAGAAGGAGGGACATTAAGGTACTGTCCTGAAGTCAGAGGACTGGGTAACAGCCCTGGCTCCAACTCCAGCCCCACCAAGCCGTGAAGACCCTGCCCGGGGGGGCAGTGAGGGCTGTCTCTGTTGTTCAAGGAGGAGTGGACCTTGACACCTCGTGGTCAGGGTGGCGGGCGCCCTGAACGGGGCGCTTAGAGGGAGCGGTCTGGGGTCACGGTCAAGGAGGCACCTGTCAGCAGGTGGGCTGAGGGCAGGCCTGGAAGGAATTGCCGGGAACTGACCGGTGAGCTGAGTCAGGCGGAGCTGGCGCAGAGCGTGGCTAGAGTTGGTGTTGTAGTTTAACATGACAAAGATGGCAAACTTCCCATCGTAGACCTGGGTCCCCCGCACCACTCGGAGGTTGGGCAGTGGCAGTGTAGAGAACTCGTTCATGGCCACGAGGACATAGCCGGTCACTTCTCGGATCCACTGTGACGGAGCAGATTGCGTCAGTGGGAGGGACAAGAAATGGGGCCAGAAGTCTCAGTCTCCTTTCGCTCCCTAGGGCACTGAGGAACCTCTGACTCCTCTAATTCTTTCCAAGTCCTGCTCTGGAGTAGGGAATAGCAGGTGCCACATGACTTCTACAAGCGAAGACGGGCTGAAGAAATGACTGAGAAATTCTAGGCTCCATAGGCTCCAGGCCTTTCCTTCCGAGGGCCAGGGCGGTCGTTGCTTCTCCCTGCCTCACCTCCCCAGGTGCCTCCCAGTCCCTGGTGTAGAATCTACCCCATGCCTGCCCCTTCCCGTGGCCAGCCCTTCTGCATCCCCAGCTGCAGCCACCAGTCCACAGGGCCTGGATTCCAATCACTGCCCCTGTTTACACAGGCTTGGATCTTAGAAACCATTGAGTTTTAGGAATGCTGAACGCCAGCTCCAGCACAGGGTAACCCCGAGGACAGGAAACAGGCTTCAACAGTGAGGACAAGGGGGGAAACGCTGAGACAGAAGGTCAGCGCTCTAACCTGCAGAAAGGAGAGGTCAGCGTTGTGTCCCGTGAGCACGATCTCCAGGTTCCCCATCACTACCTCACACTTCTCATAGAGCTTGTGCAGCGTCTGGTATTGGTTCTCAGCATCGCCAGTCACGCTCAGCCCGTTCAGAGTCCCAGGGCACACTGTTCCAAGTGGAGGGGAGCGTGGCAGGGGCTGGACGTACATCTCCAGCCCCCTCCCCCCAAGACCACCCCCTCGCCGCCCTCCTCGAGTAACACTCAACATGACCGGAAGGCCGCTGCCCCCCACCCTCAACCCTGCAGGCAGATACCAAGGCTGAACTGAGAGCTTTAACTTCCTCTTTTCCCCAAATCCCTTCATATCCCCCTGAACAGCAAGGTGAGAAGACTTCCTTCTCCCACCTGGGCCTCCTCTGGCCTCTTCGGTACTACTTTGGGTGCTGAGGAGTTAATCAAGGAGTATGTGGGGTTGTTTTCCCCTCCCTAAGAAGAAGTTAGAAATGGACCACAACTTGGTTACCCTCCTCTTCCCCGCCCCCACGCCAACCGGGCACTTCTCTACCCCCATCCTGCCTCTCTAGGTCCTGGAATAAATATCTCTTTGGGGCAGCACACAGCCCCTATTGTGTCTAGGGAGGGTGGGATGAGGGCAGAGGGTGGGGGCAGTGCCTGGGGCCACAGTCCGGCCCACAATGAGGCAATTCTATCTCAGAGGAGGGGGCCGGGCCGCTCCACCCTGTCCCCAGACACCCTGTCCTCAGCAGCAAGCCCCCTCCACCCTCAAGCCCTGGGTTCCGACCAGTGACCTCACTGGCGGGGGGCCTCTGGTGGTGGTGGTGATGGCGGTAGTGGGGGTCAATGTAAGCTTTGTCTCTCAAGCTGGAAGACAGGGAACGGGCTGCCTAGCCCGCACCCCCTCCCTAAACTCCGGCTTCCCTCTCACTCCTTTCCTCATCCCCACACATGCCAGCTCCCTCCACGTCACACTTTCCAGCCCTAGAGTATTTTTCAGCAAACACAGAGAAGTTGGATGAAAACAGCAGTCTCAGCCTTCTGCCCGACTTCATTGTCAAGGAGATTCATTAAGAAGTCTTCCAACATCGCTCACTCACTCAATCCTCACTCGCTGTCAGTCTTGGAGGTTCGCGTTACTTTGTGAGTGTGGAGGAGGACACGGGGGCTTCTGGGCAATCTTGGACCCTGAAGCCCTGCCCTGTCTCTCCTCTGGCTCGTGAAGGGCTGCGGGGGAACGGGTAGATACCACCTGTTCCCGCCACCCTTCCCTGAGGCGCTGGCAGCCTAGTGGGAGGCAGGAGTGGGAACGGAGGGAGGGAGGTGGGTGAGGCCCCAGCGCCTCCTCCTGGATGCACCCCTAGTCTGACCTGTGAGGGGCTCCTATTCCCTATCACTCCCCGTGAAGGAAAAAGGGTGAGCTAGACCCGGCCGAGGAGTAAACAGACAAGAGCTCCCAGAGGTGCCCAGGTCGAAAAGAAAACCACTAGAAGGCTGGTTGTTTCTGCAACAGCCCCACCCCAACGCCCTTCTTGGCAGGACACCCCCTCTTCCAGGTCAGGGAGCCAACCTTTCTCCCCAGATAAAGGAGGAACCAAGATTTCTGCGCAGGGAGGCGGGGTGTGTGTGTACCCACGCACACACACCCGCACGCAGACACGTCCACGGCTCCCCTGCTGGCCCAGAAGTCCCCAGGGCTCCGTCCTCGGGCTCCTAGAGAGGAAGGAGCCCTCCCTGGCCCCAGCCCGCCCACCTGCCCGCAGGTGTTCGTGCAGACTTCGGGTCGAGCTGGGGAGACTACAGTGTGAGAGGTCCCGGTTCCCTGCCACCCTGAGGGTAAAGTCCATATTACACAAACAAGAGCAAAGGGCTGGGCGGGAAACTATGAACAACACCTCTGAGGAGGAACAGGCATCTAGGGGAGGAGGGGCGGGGGAGGGGAATTCAAAAGTCCCCGCACTACCCAGCGACCAGGGCATGGAGGGCCAGTGTCACAGGCTCCCCTTTGGGAGAGAGCACTGGGGTGGGTCGGAACAAGAATCTCCAGCCCCTCCTCAACCAGAGGCCTTCTCCCCCAAGTCCCCCGCCCCCATCACCGCCAGGACAAAGGGGCTATAGAAGGACTGAGACGGGGCCGGATGCCCAGAGGCTGCAGGAGCCAGATAAAGGGTAAAGAGACCCAACCATGCCTGCCTCCTGTCTCCCTCAGGGAAGGCGGCCAGGATCTGGGACTCCTGGGTTCCCGGCTGAAGATTCCAGGGGTGTGAGCGGGATAGTGAGACGGTCACTTTACTCCATCTCTCCCACTCCAATCCCCAGACCCCCGCCCTCCACCAGCTGGGAGTGTTCACATCCCAAGATCCCAGGGTCTAAATTTAGGCCCAGCAACTGTGAGGGAAGCACAGGTGTTTCTCCCACTCCCACCCTGGGGAAGGGGCCCTGCCGGTGCCAAACCCCAAGCTGAGATCTGGGGGAGGGGAGGAAATCAACACACCTCCTCCAGAGCCAGCAGCCCCGGCGCCCCTCAGGTGTCCACGGTCCCAGAGACACCCCAAAGAGGTGGGCTCGGCTGGCATGGGAGTGGGAGGAGGAACAGAGCGGTGATCTGACTGGTCTAGACGGCTGGAGACTGCCAGACAGTAAACAGAATGGGAGTGGGGGTGAAGCTGGGTCTGAGAAGGACCCCCCCCCCAAGGACAGGGGGCTCAGAAGACAGGGCAGGTGCACTGTCCGCCCTCAAGTGGGGGAGAGAAAAGACAGAGATATAGCGGCTGGAAGTCCTTAACCCCAGAGCTCGTGGTCCTGGGCTCTGTACATAGTAGATGCTCAGTAAACATTGGTTAAATTGATCTGGGGTTTAACTAAAAAAGTTTGGTCCAGTGGGGGACCAGCAAACTTTATTATTTCGAGAGAACGAGGGCAGTCAGCCTCGGCGTGGCCTCTCCCCCTGGTCACCTGGACTTAGCCCCCAGGTTAATCTCCACTGTCCCCAGGGCAGGCCCACTCACGGAAGGGGAGGTGCCACTCTTGTTTTCCAACACTAGACAACAACAACCTCCCCCCCCTTCCACAGCTCCGCCCTGTCGGCAAAACAACGAAACTGGAGCGTGCTGAGCCCCAGGGGCCAAGGCGGTTTGGAGCAAATCAAGACCCCCACCTCCGCGTCCCGCTTCCTCCAAGATCTCCACCTCCAATCACCCCCTCACGTTACAGAACGGAGGTCCTCGCTCCCATCCCAGCAGGGCCCCTCAGAAGTGTGAATGGTTTCAGCATCCGCCGGAGAGTCAATCCGAGGGTCTGCGATGCGCCCAGGAGGCGGTGGCCGGGCGGCAGGTCCCGGAATCGCGTCCCCGCCCGGACCACGCCGAGAACCCGATCCCGACGGTCCCGGGCCCAGGGGGTCCCAGCCGGCCGTGGCTTCGCACGCCAGCCTCGCGCAGCCCAAGCTCCTGCCGCTGGCCTCCGGCACCCCACGAATCCGGTTCGGAATCCCGGGTTCCGAGCCCGCTCGGGCTCCCGCGCCGCTTACCTGCCTGCGAGTTGCCCACCTCGGAGCCCCGGGCCAGGCTGAGGAGGAAGCCCAGCACCTGCAGAGCCCGGCTCACCCTCATGACTCCAGCGGAAGGTGCGGGGCGCCCAGCCCAGGCCGGCCGGGAAGGGCGCTGGACTAGGGCATCGAAGCGGGGCCACCTGAGCCGCCAGCGACCCGGCAGCGGCGGCAGAGGAGGCTGCGAAGTGCACCCGGAGCCGGAGCCCGGGGCGGGGTGGCAGGGGCGGAGTGGAGTCTGCGAGGGAGCGCAGCGCGGAGCGCAGGGGGAGGGGGTGAGCCTCGGCCGCGCCCCCTCGGGCGCGAGGCTGGAGCAGCGATTGCCGGAGCCTCGGCGGCCCGCCCCGAGCCAGCGCGCCCCACGCCCCGTGCCCGGCAGCTTGGCCGCGCAGGTCCCAAACGGCTCTCGCGCTAATTATTCTGCCGGAATCCAAGATTCCGAACGCCCCCAAATACTTCCAGAGGAGAAAGGTAATGGGGGTGGTGAGGGAACGCTCCGAAGCCCGACCCCCTGCGAGTTGGCCTCGCCCACTTAACCAAATCACCCAACTCCCCTAGCCGGTTGGGTCACTTGGGGGAGTTTCTGTCTCAATGTGTTTGCCTGTGTGTGTGTTTTGGAGGGGGGAGGGTGTTTTTGTCGGCCACTCAGGCCACCTCAGTCTCCCCGGAAACCCCCTGGAGACCCCATAACTCATCCGCCCTGCCGGGGAACCCGAGCTCCGGAGGCCGCGTGAAATCGCACTGTCTCCGGCCGCGTCCTCCTCCAGACCCGGCGCCGGCCCGGCCTCTCCCGGGGATTTGGTGGGGGGCGGGGGCGGCTTCCAGCCTGGGAACAGACCCCTAAGCCCGCCTTTCCACTCCCCCCCGGGAGGCGCTCCCGCACCTGTCGCCGTCCCCTCTGCTGCCCCCCACGGCCGCCTGGGAGAACAGCTGCCCCCCTCGCAAGCCGGAGTCGGACCGCGCCGTCGGGGCGGCCACCGTTCCCACCGCAGGCGCTCGCTTTCCCAGGCCTTCCGGGCCTGGGGTCTTCCTGGAAAGGGGGCGGAGGGGGACGCGGAGAGGGCCCTAGAGACTGCGTCCCCGAAAGGCACGAACCCAGGGCACCAGCTCCCGGATCCTAGCCGGAGGCGCGCTGACCACCACGAGGGGATGCCCCAAACCCAGGCCGACACCAGGTGGATCGGATGGGCACTTCCTGGTGCCCAGCCGGCGGCAGTGAGGCCTCACGCGGTGTGGCATTCCGGATCTTGCGCCGAGAGCCTAATTATTTCCCCCAGAGTTTCAAGCCTGAAGACTTCAAGAACAGTTGAGCTTTGAATAAGAAAAATTCCACCTCTCACTCTGAGCCAAGAGTACTGGCTAAGATTCTTTCAACTTACTCTGCATCCTGGAGGGCCTGTTCTGTGGTTGGAGGCTACCTTTGCCCTCTGAGTGTTGACCTTGCCCTGACCACTTAATTAACAGCCATGATAGCAATAGAAACATTAACATATACGTTCATACACAAGATCGTTTGCAAGCACTTTCTCAAACTTGGAGAATGTTTCACTTAATATAAAAACTATGTGAATTAGGTGACATCACTCTGTTTTACAGACTGGAAATGTGGGACTACTCCAAGATCATCCACCCAGTGACACTGCTCAGATGATCAGGTGATCAGAAGCAGGGGCTCAGGTTTTGCCTAGGACTTCTTGGGTTACCCGCTCTAGACTGGAGCTTCATCTGCTCAGAATCAAACTCCTATCAGATAATTGAGCTATTACCACTTGAGGGGCCTTTCACTTTATCACTCAAGCATTTCAACCTAGTGTTCAAGGCTCTCATTTCAAAGGAGGAACCCCTCCCTAGTTTGTTTATAGAGCAGTCATATTTATTAAAGGTTGTTGTCTCTATTTACTAAGAAAAGGCAGGGAGATCTTCATTACTGAGTGCTAGCTGTATTTCTTATTATTATCACCAACCCTAATCCTTCCCTCCCCAACTAGACATCCAGGTGTGCTTGCTGGTATTCATTCTTCAATACGTTGTGCTAAATATCAGGGATGTAAGCACTGGAAATATCTGACAAGTAAGGGGCCATCTCTGTTGCATGCTATGCTGACCCAATAAATGAACAAATGGAGACTTTATTTACCAACACTCTCTGCAGTTGGCAGTTATCCAGCATCCCTTTATTTTTTTTTACTCTTAGCTGATAACTTTGGTTCTTATTTTACTGTGAAAGAAATCAAAAGAAAACATCCTTAGGACTTCCCGGTGGTCCAAGGAAGCATCCACCTTCCAATACAGGGGACACAGTTTCAATTGCCTGGTCAGGGAGCTAAGATCCCACATGCCACAATATTTAAAAAAATAGTAATAATGATAAAGGACTTCCTGGTGGTCCAGTGGTTAAGAATCTGCTTGCCGATGCAGGGAACACAGGTCTGATCCCTGGCCCGGGAAGATTCCACATGACTCAAAGCAACTGAACCCTTGCAGCACAACTGCTGTGAGTCCTCATGTTCTGGAGCCTGTGCTCAGAAGGAGCCACTGCAATGAGAAACCAGTGCGCTGCACCTGGAGGAGCCCGTGCTCAGAAGGAGCCCCTGCAATGAGAAACCAGTGCGCTGCACCTGGAGGAGCCCGTGCTCAGAAGGAGCCCCTGCAATGAGAAACCAGTGCGCTGCACCTGGAGGAGCCCGTGCTCAGAAGGAGCCCGTGCTCAGAAGGAGCCACTGCAATGAGAAACCAGTGCGCTGCACCTGGAGGAGCCCGTGCTCAGAAGGAGCCCGTGCTCAGAAGGAGCCCCTGCAATGAGAAACCAGTGCGCTGCACCTGGAGGAGCCCGTGCTCAGAAGGAGCCACTGCAATGAGAAACCAGTGCGCTGCACCTGGAGGAGCCCAGCTCACCACAGCTAGAGACGGCCTGCGTGAAGCAACAAGACCCAGCACTGACAAAAATAAGTAAATAAAATTTTAAAAGGGGAAAAAAAAGGAAAACATCCTTATCTACCAGCAGCCTGGCCAATTTACCTTCATCCTCGCTTAGGTACTCCGACTTCCGCCATATTAAAAGAATAGTCTTTGTTGTTAGCTAAGGCAGCCGTCAGGTGAAGAACTCCACCTGCAGTGCAGGAGACTGGGGTTTGATCCCTGCGCGGGAAGATCCCCCAGAGAAGGGAATGGCTACCCACTCCAGTACTCTTGCCTGGAGGATTCCATGGACAGAGGAGCCTGGTGGGCTACAGTCCACAGGGTCACAAAGAGTCGGACACGGCTAAGCATACAGCTCAAGCCAGCTGTCGCCCTCCCGTTCCTGTCCCGCACCCCTGCCCCCTTGTTCTTGTTCTGTCTTCTTGTCTTTCTCCTGTATTAGCGATAGTTCTCTCTACTGGATACATTTTTATTTTTTCAATTTGGCTATCTCCTGTGTTAGCTGCAGCATGCTAGGGCTGGAGGCACTCGGTCTAAGTTGTCCTGCCCTGGAATCTTGGTTCCCCAACCAGGGATCCCTCCTGTGTCCCCTGCATTGCAAGGAGGGTTCTCGCCCGCTGGGCCACCAGAGAAGCCCCAAAGGGGCATTTTTTAAAGTTATTTTTTAGGAGAGAAAACTTCAGAGGAGGTATTTTACATACAGAATCCTTTGAACTGGACCTTGTCAAAAAATACTTAGTACAGGTAAAAGCTATATGCCACGTACGTTTCACTTAACATGAAGCCTTGGCAAGAGTAAAGGATGCAGAAAGAAACAAATAAAACCCCACATACACAATTACAACTGATAAGAACATTAAAAAGATTTCTGGGGGCTTCCCTGGGGGTCCAGTGGTTAAGAATCCACTTTCCAATGCAAGGAACATGAGTTAAATCCCTGATTGGGGAACTAAGATCCCATTGGATGTCGGGCAGCTAAGTTCACATGGCACAACTAGAGAAGCCCAGGCGCTGCAACAGAGACCCAGTACAACCAAAACAAACCAAAAAACCTGCACAATTCTTTTTCTGGTTTCTGAAAAGCTTGCATAAAAGCAGCAAGAAACTGTTTTTGAAGGTCAGTAGAACATATCTGTAAAATCACCTGGGTCAAAAGTTTTGGTAGGAAAGTCTTTTAAAATTTAAAAAAAAATATTTCTTTATCTGGCTTTGATGGGTCTTAGTTGCCGCAAGGCAGGATCCTCAATCTTTGTACACCAGGCAAGATATTTGTTGTGGCTTGCAAACTCTTAGTAGCAACATGTGGGATCTAGTTCCCTAAACCAGGGATCGAACCTGGGGCCCCTGTATTGGGAGCACAAAGTCTTAGCCAAGGCACCACTGGGGAAGTCCCAGTGAAAGTCTTTGATTAACATTGTATTTATTTATTTTTAAAATCTGTTTGTTTGTTTATGGTCTCTCTGGGCCCTCTGCAGTGAAAGCATGGAGTCCTAACCACTGGCTGGCCAGGGAAGTCCATTTTGCTATTTGTATTTTCCCCGAAATGTATACATTTTGTCTAGGCTTATAAGTCCGTTAGTGTACGGTTGTTAATACTATTGTGCTGTTTTATTTCGTTTTTGGCCACACGGCACATGAAACTTTACCCCAACCAGGGATGGAACTATCGCCCCCTGCAGTGGAAGCACAGAGTTTTCAGCACTAGACCGCCAGGGAAGTCCAATATTTTTATTTAAAAAAAAAAAATCTGTTGAGGGAGCTTCTGAGTTGGGGAACATGTGGAAATGCAGGGACAATGGTACTTGGAAAGGGGATGGAAACTCCCACATACTTTGCCCTTTACATCTCTTCCATTAGGCTGTTCCCTGAGTTGTATCCTTTCATAATAAACCAATAATCTAGTGAATAAAATTTTTAAAACTGTTGTGTCAAAATAAGTTCCTAATGGCTTAAAGACTTAAACATAAGATATAACACTATGAAACTCCTAGAAGAAAACACAGGCAAAGCATTCTCTGACATAAATTTACCAATGTTTTCTTAGCTTAGTCTCCCAAGGGAATACAAATAAAGCCAAAAATAAACAAATGGTACCTAGTCAAACTTACAAGCTTTTGCACAGCAAAGGAAATCGTAAACAAAACAAAAAGACAACCTACAGACTGAG